TTTTTTACAGAAAAATTATTAAAAAAAATAAACAAATAGACTCATTACCTAATTATTTATCTAAATAAACCTTTTTACTGTAATATATTTTTGACAGTCAGAATTTAGTTCTCGGATAACCAAATTCTGACTTGAGTGTTTTTTTATTTTTTTTGTTTTATGTTTTTTATATAATAAAATAAATACTATTATTTAAATTATATTTATATATATTTATATTTTATTAAAATAAATACTTATGATATGTTATTCTAATAAATATTTATAAATATTTTGTTAATTATCTATAATAAAATAAAATTTATTATTTGAATTATGTTTATATTTTTATATTATTTGAAAATGAATAAAAATAAAAATAATATTTATTTTATTGTTTATTAAAATTTATTTTACATATTTAAGATAATAAATAATAATTTTAGAAAAAAATAATAATTATATTTTTAAAAATTATTAAAATAATTAAATAATAAGTAAATTATTTTAGATAATTTTTAAAAATTAATCAAAATATTTAAATAATAAGTATATTATTTTAGATAGTAATGTTAATGCTTCAATTATTTATATTTAAAGAATAATAATTATATTTTTAAAAATTAAATAAATATATTAAATACTATTCTATTCTATTTATTTATTTAAATATGTTATTTTGAGTTAATATTTTTAAATATTAGTATGATAAAATGATATTTTGAATAAAAAATTTATTTTAATTAAATTAGTTTTTTTAAAAATTACATTATTTAATATTATAATTTTTAATAAATTTTATTTTAGAATAAAAAAATTATTTTTAAAAAGTAAATAAAATATTAAGTTAATTATTTATACTTGAGATAAATATTTTAAAATTAACGTTTTCATATTATTAAGTCAACATTGATGAAGACAAAGTGCATTAATAAAGATGATAACAAATTCATAACATTAATAATTAACTATCTCCGTAATGGTGGTCAGTTTTACAACGAGGGCGAAGTTTGTGACGTAGTGGGTTTCATCATTGTGATTGTTGCTCCAGCATGAACTTGTGGAGGATTTAGATTATTATGAAGGTCTAATTGTTGGAATGCATTTGATGAATTACCAGGTTCATTAGCAAAATCCGGTTAATAAAGAGATTGCATGCAAGTTTGTGCTGAAGATGGAGTTGTAAAATCAACTCCAAATAAGTTTGTAAAAAAAAAATACTCCGATGTTGTTGCAAACGAATGTCTAGTGTTAATTATGTTTGCTTTTGGCTTAATGTTAGGAGGAATTGATGCAGTCTCGTGGTACAACTTCCATATCGTCTTACTTCCAAATGTGTTGGTAGTCCTTAATTGTTGGTCGCTCCTCCTTGGATCTTGTAGTAGTGGTGACAAAGGTAGGAAATAAATGGAATTGGCAATGTACTATTTCATGTATTCTTGTGTGTGACATAATGGGCCTTGCATGGGATGACCCGTTATTGTCAACTCCATTGAACATGTCTTGTAACCTAATTTTCATCTTGTCTTCCTAGCATTAGATTCTTTTCTCATTCAAGCCATCCAATATACTTCCAAACAAGCTTTCTCTCCTCCTAATCAAATATGCCTTCTGACATTCATATAGACCAAGAGATAGTGACTTCTCAGTCACATCCGACATTTGATTCTCTTTTCATTCAAGTCATCTCATATATTTTCAAACAAGCTTTCTCTCCTCCCACTCAAAGATGCCTTCTGACATTCACGTAGACTAAGAAATAATGACTTCTTAAGAATCCAAGGCTACTCTCTCGTACCAAAGTTTATCTATAAATCCACGGCCACATGTTTTTATTCAAACTTGCATCCATCTTTATTCTTCGTTTTTCTCTATCTTTGCTCTCATTACTAAAAGTGTTGTTATGGAAGCAAAACAAACACAGGTCCGCCTTCGTTGAAAGAAGGGTAAATTTTACACATTACCATTATTTACTGAATATGTAAATTAATATTCTATATATAATATTACTAATTTGTTAATAACTACAGGAAACTAAAAACATAATTTTATCTTTCTGTCATTCAATGCTAGAATCTAGTCCTCTAATTGTTTCTATACTTGAACAACTTGGTTTTGCTGAGGTAGCAAAGCTAAGGCATCTTAAGGTGGATCACACATTAATAACAACTTTGGTCGAGAGGTGGAGACTTGAAACTCACACATTCCATTTTTTAACAGCGGAGTGCACCATAACCCTAAAAGATGTTGCACTTTAACTCGGGCTAAGAGTTGATCGTTTACCAGTCATTACTCTAACAATGTTTGACTGGGAGGAAATATGTGACACATATCTCGGTATCATGCCAGTCAAGGGAGAGTCACTTATTGACTCTATGCTAAAACTAAAGTGGCTGAGAGATAACATGTTGCAATTACCAGAAGAATCATCTGAAGAAAAAATTCACGCCCATTGTAGGGCTTATATACTATGTTTAATTAGAGGTGTTTTGATGTCTGACAAAACATGCAACAAATACATCATATGTATTTAGCTTTATTAACTAATCTTAGAAGAACAAGACGATATAGTTGGGGTTTTACTTGTTTAGCTATGTTGTATAGGAAAATGTGCAGAGCCACGAAAGTTGGTAGAAAAATAATGGATGGTTGCTCATCACTGTTAATGTCTTGGGCATGGTATCGTATATCATATATTATGCCAATTTATAGTAATCTACCAATATACCTTCTCGTGTGCAGATGGAGCGGGGTAGAGTACTAAACTTTTGAAAAAAACCTCACAATGATGTTGTGGGGTACAAATCAATGTTTGATCACATTCAAGCTAATTAGGTAACTCTTCATAACAAAAATTTGAATTCATATTTATTTTCTTATCTTTTACACATCATCTTAAGTAACAAAGTTAAATTTATTTGTAGTTTTTATGGGCGCCATATCAAGACTTGCAAATATCAATACCCATGGAAGCATATAGAGATATTCAACTGTGGATTTCATGTACCTCCATCCTTTGTTTTGCAATTGTTGAATGACACCAAACAGAAAGAGTCAAATTATAATTTTATCTCTTTCAAGAAGTCTCTTTTCCACTGAATAATTTGAATGACCTCCACAAAATTGACATGAGAGGAAGACAAGATGAAAATTGAGTTACAAGACATGCTCAATTGATCGAGATATGGAACAACAGACGTAAGCTGACAATAACAGGTCATCTAATGCAAGGCCTATTGTGTCACACACAAGAATACATGGAATAGTACATTACCAATTCCATCTATTTCCTATCTGTGCCACCACTACTACAAGATCCAAGGAGAAGCGACCAACAACTAAGGACTATCAACACATTTGAAATTGGTATGACTTCCACACCATTGTACCACAAGACTGCATCAATTTCTCCAAATATTATGCTAAAAGCAAACATAATTAACACAAGACATTCGTTTGCAATAACATCAGAGGATTTTTTTACAAACTTATTTGAAGTTAATTTTACAACTCTATCTTCAGCACAAACTTATGTGTAATCTTTTTACCAATTAGATTTTGCTAATGAACCTGATAATTTATCAAATGCATTCTAACAACTAGACTTTCATGATGATCCAAATCCTCCACAAGTTCATCCTGAAATCCTGGAGTAACAACCACAACGACGAAACCCATCACATCACAAGCGTTGCCCTCGTTGGGGAACTAGTCACTATTACAAGGATAGTTAATTATTAATGTTGTTATGAATTTGTTATCATCTTTATTAATGCATTTTGTCTTCATCAACGTTACCTTAGTAATATGGAAACGTTAATTTCAAAATATTTGTCTTAAGTATAAATAATTAACTTATAAATTAATATTTTATTTACTTTTAAAAATAATTTTTTTATTCTAAAATAAAATTTATTAAGAATTATAATAGTAAAGTTTTAGGATTTAGGGTATTAAAAATTATAATATTAAATAACGTAATTTTTAAAAAAACTAATTTAATTAAAATAAAATTTTTATTCAAAATATCATTTTATCATACTAATATTTAAAAATATTAACTCAAAATAAGATATTTAAATAAATAAATAAATAGAATAATATTTAATATATTTATTTAATTTTTAAAAATATAATTATTATTTTTTAAGTATAAATAATTGAACCATTAACATTACTATCTAAAATAATATACTTATTGTTTAAATATTTTAATTAATTTTTAAAAATTATCTAAAATAATTTACTTATTATTTAATTATTTTAATTAGTTTTTAAAAATATAATTATTATTGTTTTCTAAAAATATTATTTATTATCTTAAATATGTAAAATAAATATTATTATTATTTTTATTCATTTTCAAATAATATAAAAATATAAACATAATTTAAATAATAAAACTTATTTTATTATATATAATTAACAAAATATTTTTAAATATTTATTTTAACAAAATATAAATATGTAAATATAATTTAAATAATAATATTTATTTTATTATATAAAAACATAAAACAAAATTTTAAAGCGAAAAAAAAACTCAAGTCCGAATTTTGTTTCCCAGGAACCAAATTCTGGCTAGCAAAAATTTATTACAGTGAAAAAGTCTATTTGGATAAATAATTAAGTGATAGGTCTATTTGTGTGTTTTTATATTTTTTAATAATTTTTCTGTAAAAAATTCTACTCAGAGATTAGCAGATTTTTTTCATTAACTTTTTTACTGTTCATATCACTTCAATTTATTACTTCAAGAATTTATTTTTTAAAATAATTTGTAAATGATTTTCAGATTATGATTTTTAAAAGATACAAATTTCTAAAAATTCAGTTCTAAAAGTGATTCATAAATAGCTTTCGTTATTTAATTTTCAAAAAGTATCAAATAATTTATCTAATGTGCACTTAACGAGTGCTTATAACATACAATAAAAGTTTATATATAGTAATATTTTATTAAAAATCATGTGATATTACTGAATTTAATGCAATGACAACATTGAATGCTACAATTTTAAATAAAAACTAATTACTTATTAAATTTCTTATGTATTTTGAACTCATTAAAAAAATTGTTTATAGAATACCGCACCTAACCTCCTAACAATTTCTTATTTATTAAACATATATAATAGGGGGAAGTCGAAAAAGAGAGCTGAAGTACTTACTTCCTTTGCTCAGAAAATAATGGCTTATGCACATTGAAATTAGTGACGGCCAGAAATTAACAAAATATAATAGGGGGCCAGCTGCCCAGGGATTGGGTGCTAAAGGAAAGAAGAGGGGAAACCATCATTTGCTGAACTTGGATTAGTACAGTTGGTCGAAAGCAATGAAGAAAAAGAGAGAAGAAAATACTTAACAAAAGATTTTAGAGTACACGAGGATGTCAGCTACCTCTCAAACTGTCGTTTTCTGGAGTTATGCACAATCACGAGCAGTTGAAGAGATCAAAGTACTCCTCCCCAATGTCGCAAGTAGTATGGGGCCAGATTTTGAATCAATACATAAGCCAGCGATTGCCACGTAACACGTGCAAGTCAAGGATACTATCACAACTTTGAGTGTCGTCTCCAAGGACACCCGCCGTCAAAAGCTTGCTCTAACACATCTTCCATTCGTTTTGCAAGCAGTATCTGTTTAGGAAAATCGAAAAGAAAACTGTGATCTTGTGTTTCATTTCAGTGAAATGTTATCAAGGGCCTGATTTTAAGCACCATAAGAACGTAAAACACAAAAGTATGCAGACATATAGTTCGCGGAGTTTTTGAAAATGTACTTACTAAATGACTGGACAAGTTAAATAGTGACAATTTTTCATGCCAAATTCGTGTCTACCTTAGTGCTAACTATGCTCGGTTCAGAACTATATAGAATGGAACAAAAGTGCGTGAATACAAGGAAACATAATTACCTCCAAATTGGCCAGTACAGATGATGGTACTTCAACCAAGTCCTTCAGGTTTCTTTCAGGCAGGATGACTCTCTTGATACCATATCGATGTGCAGCTAATATCTGTGAAACATCGATAAAAAAAATCCGATCATGCCACAATTTTATAGCCGTAAACATTTTTTTTTTCTGGTCCCTGGGGAATGTTCAAATATATCAATGCTTTTAAGCCAGTAAATAGCTGTGCAGTAGCATTACATTTTATAGAGTAATCCGATTAGAAATGACAATCAAAGTTTCTTTTTTCCCCTGTACTTTTTCTTGTTGCATAAAAAATTATAAAAACTCCCCTTCGTGTCCATCTGATATGCATCTCATCCTGTCAATCAAGGAAGTTCGCAACAAGTACAAAATCCATTCTTACTGCATGCCTCCTATCCCAAACAATGCATACACATACATAATTATTAACTCTTTCCTCAAAAAGAAATTTCTTTTGAACTTAAAACAGGTGAATTAGTCATACATATTTAATAACCGCCAGATACATTTATACTAGCTCATTCCATTTCCACGAGGAATTGCATTATTAATGGTTTTGTAGCTTGACTAATAAATGTAGAATAAATTACACATAGGCAACTACCCTTGTGGCATTATCATTGACATCTCTTAGAAGGTTTACACTGGTCATGAAACAAGAAACTTACCTTATCCTTGATACCACCAACAGGTAGTACAAGACCCCTCAGTGTCATCTCTCCAGTCATAGCTGTATCTGATCTCACTCTTTTCTGAATGAAAAGGGATACCAATGCCGTGACCAAAGTCACACCAGCAGAAGGCCCATCTTTAGGTACAGCACCTGCAGGAAAATGTATATGTACATCACGGCCCTCCAACAGATTAATGCCCTCTGCAGCAGCTAGCCTAAGTTCAGCCGCTCTTGTCCTTACCTATGAAAGCCATATGTGGTGTTTAGCACATGTTTAAATTCTAGGGTTTTATTAGGTATAGAGGGAGGAGGAAATAGAGAATAAATACTTTGAAACTGATATTAACTTGAAATGATACAATGTGTCGTATGTGTTACAAAAAGATGTAAGCACTAACCTTTATTTATTATACTAATACTATATCATATTTCATGGAAATATGGAAACTAATCCTGCGAGATTATCTAAGATGTAATGAAGATATTATTGCGTATTTTTCAGATATTCTAACTACACATTCCTGTTTTCTAAGGAATTTCCTTGGCAGACATAAGAGAGATTGGAAACTGATTATATATAATAAATTTGTTTGATTTCTTTTCCATGTAAGAAGGATATCTTATCCTTGTCTTCTACGTACCCCTTTCCTTTTTATAAACTTATTTTTATAAAAAAAAGCAGTATGATTATATTGCAATGCTTTAGCAATTGAAGCAATGAGAATAACATACCAAAAGAGTAGAAGACCAACAAAAAAAACAATAAGGAAAGCAGGATAATGGCAAACAAGCACTTAGGCACTTCCATATTCACAAATGCATGCGCACAAGTGGCTAGTAGCTTGTTACAAGTAGCATGAAACTTTTCTTTAGACAGAAGTAACATGAAACATATTTTGAAGGGAAATTAAAGGAAAAACCCTAATCAAGATAACGTGGGTTAAAACTCAATTAGATGAGGTTGGTTACCCATGTTAATGCAATCTGAGCTGATTCTTTGATTACATCACCCAGTTGTCCGGTAAGATGCAATTCACCCTTCCCCACCATTGCTGTAGCCTCGACAAACTGAACTTCTCCACCAATACTAGTCCAAACCAGCCCAACAGATACCCCAGGAGTTGCAACACGCTCAGCTGCTTCTCTTCCATCAAATTTTGGAGGCTGCAGTTTATAACATCAACAAATCAGGCATTCCTCCTCTTTAATTATATTATCAAATCTAATTTCCACTGAAGGTTTGCTTCTATAAGATTTCTTTCAAGAGGACTTCATATACAAGGTACTCATTCATGTTACGTCTAAGCTATACTGTAAAAGTGCATTTTAAGATAGCACTCACTGCATTCACAGGTGCCAAGGGATTTATATACATAAATATAGAGACTAGCACACAGAAAAATAATTGCCTGGGGTACAATCCAGTGTTATATGGCTAGCTTTAAAAGCAGTAGATTCCAATTGCTGAGGTGACAGGCAACAATTTTTATATAATTTATTCCATCAAATTTTTTTTTCTTTAAGGGTGTAAGGAGAGGGAAGTATTTGAAACTCCAACCACAAACAAACACAAATTTTCACAGCAATTACCCCAAGCACTTTTTCAAGCATAGCTTCATCAACAACCAATGGAGAGGTGATCTTGAATGTGTTTGAAATGTCACGATTGTTGATATCCATAGGTATCACTTCCATTTCAACTTCAGCACCATCAGCAAGTCTGTTTTCCAAAAGTGGGGTAGCAAGTCCCTGTACCCCCTTGTTTAGTGGAACTACCTGTTCTTGCTCTGCTACCCTTACTGCAGCAGCACGAGCCAGGGAAGCTAGATTCCTTTCCAAATTGCGTACCCCAGCTTCCCTAGTATATCTCTGAATAACAAGTTGCACCATCCCCTACATCAAAATAGTTTCCAATTAGAATCCTACGCAAAAAAATTTCTTTCTAAGATAACAAATTTAACAATCAGTATCAAGAGTATTTCTGTGCACCCATACAGTATGTTTTACATGTTTTCTTTAGTCTTATTGTGATGGACAGTGTAGAAGAGCCGGCATAGGGATTAATAAGGAGGGACTTCTAATGCTCATTAACAATTTTTTAACCAAAGTGGAAAACATAGAAAACATCAAACTTCTAATACCATGCAGGCTGGGAAAAGAGAGATGTCAGAAAGGATAGTTATGGTATGGATTTTTTGGCCCAGACATGTACATCTGGGCAATTTTACTAGTTTGTTGCATGTTTCCTACGTTCCTTTTCTTTTGACAGACGGGTAACGGAATATTATCTGTTTGGTAATATAAACTAAATGGATAGTTTGGAACTCCTTTAAGTGAAAAACATTCAGTACCTCTGGAATCTGAAGAAACTCAGAACTCAACCCATGCTGGTCCAAAACTCTGGGGATCAAATGCCGCAAGGCTATTTTGAGCTTTTCTTCGGGTGTATATCCAGGAAGCTCAATGACCTCCATCCTGTCAAGGAGAGGTGGAGGAATAGGTTGTGCTCTATTTGCTGTAGCCACAAAAATTACCTTGGATAGATCAAATGGAACATTCAAATAGCTAGCTAACTTAAGGAACAACTTTGGATTATTGCTTATTTATTGCAATAGAAGAAAAAACAGAAACAACAATAAAAATGAACTAGTTCTGCTGAAATAATAGATATATCAGGATATACAGAATAATATTATTTCCTTATATTATTTATTGATTTTAGCATTGATTCATCCTTGAAGTGAAGTTCAGTTAAGAAGAAAGAAGAATAAGGGACATCATCATGAAGAGAATAGGATACTGATCATTGAATGTCTTGTTTTGTTCTGGATCAAGAACTTCTAGCAATGCAGAAGCTGGATCTCCACGAACATCGGACCCTGTCTTGTCAATTTCATCAAGCAGCATGACAGGATTGCAAACAGCTACTCTCTATAAATCAAGTGCAATAGCATCTATGAATCTAAACCAGACCACAGAAGAAAGCAAAGCAACTAAAAAGTGTTATGAATTATTATTATTGGTCATCTTATTGGATGCCCTAGTGAACATCAAGTATATGTTACTGTGTGTAGAAAAGAAAAAAATGTATACTTGCTCTTCTAAAATGCTTATTATAATTTACAAAGTAATATATATGAATGAGATGACTTCTCCATCAGTATATTCATTTTTCTTGCATAATATATCATACCTAAAAGTATCAAACTTTCATGTAAGAACACATAATTAGCAAATGGGTATTAAGTATTCTACACCCTCTCGCCCCTTTAAGAAAAACAAAAAAGAAATCATGTCCCTTCTATTCTAACTATTAATTTTCCTCAAGTAGAAATCCCAATATTATGGCTCCAATCATACATATCAAATACTTATATGTGCATTTATGCAGTGCAACCCTCCTTTACTGTGTCCAATATGGCAAAATCCAAATTTAAAAATTAAGGAACCCAGAATTTAGTTTGCCCATGTGCTACTGTAGTGTGCACAAATTTAGAACCTAGAATTACTGAACAAAAATTATGGAACCTAGAATCTAGAATTTGTATCCTAACTCAATCACTATTCTCGTTATTATTGTACTGTCTGTCCATAATTCTGAATCTAGAGTCTGTCTCCATGCTTCTCAATATTCACTTGGCTCTACACTGGGACAATACCAAGTGGAAAAAGGCACATAACCAGATCATAAAACCTGCAACAATTACACCTTCCTACAAGCATTTGAAAATTTCATAAAAATCGGATAGTATTACAGGTAGTGTTCAATATTTAAGTTGGATTTTGAACCTTCAGTCCATCTATAAGTCTCCCAGGCATGCTTCCTATGTATGTTCTCCTATGACCTCTAATATCAGCCTCATCCTTGACTCCACCAAGGGAAATGCGTACAAGTTTTCTTCCCAAAGCAGCAGCAATAGAAGATGCCAATGATGTCTTCCCAACACCCGGTGGTCCAACAAAGCACAACACTGGACCCCTTGCATCTGGCTTAAGCTGCAATGCATACACATAAATCAGATACACATTAAGATGCATGCTACTATATATTTACCAGGAGGCATGGTAACAGGATGTTGAAAACCTTCCGAACAGCCAGGTATTCAATTATCCGTTGCTTGACCTTCACTAAACCATAATGATCAATATCCAGACGCTCCTGTGCAGCTCTTAAGTCCAGTTCATGCTCTTTGCCAGCCTTCTGCCATGGCAAATCAGCAAGAAGATCCAGGTAAGCCCGTGAACTGCTATACCCAGGTTGCTGAGGCTGCATTTTTTTTAATCTCCTGGGAGAATTACAGTAAAATTAAAATAAACTGATTATCTCCACTAAGTTGTAAAATAACTTGTATTACAATAATATCATAGTTTCCAATGTCATTCTTGTTGAAATTTATGGCAAGAAATTCCATCTCAGAATGTTTCCAAAAAAAGCACCTTAACTCTCTGTGAGCATGCTTCCAGATATTCTGTGGCATTCCTGCACTTTGCATCTTTCTTTCCAGGGCAGCCAGGTCATCCTCATCATCATCATCATCACCAAGTTCCTCTTTTATAGCCCTCATCTAAAATGTATTTTGCAGGCAAAAGAAAACAAAAACAGTCCAATTAGAAAAAAGTCCAAACAAGACAATGCATATAAACAGAAATAAAATGCTCCACTGCATCTGAACAGGCCAAGAGTCGATAACCTTCTAAATCTTATGCGAAATATATCACCATTTACATGCTACTTCCATTAGCAAAAATTGAAGACACTCTTTAATTAGTATTTTTCCTCTCTAGGAATAAACTACTCTAATTTCATATTACCCAAATGTGTGCTATTATTGTACCATTTAAGTCTAACAACACCTGATGGGTTAAGACCAACAAAATTTCAATGCTGTGCTTGTAAACCCTTAGTCCATTAACCTTTAAAAGGTACAGTAATAAACTTTTGCAACTAATACATATTGATTATGTCAAACATACCTACATCCAAACAATGAGATAAGTAAAGTCACTATGGTTTTGCACCAGACACTGTTTCAAATAGCTAGCTGATAGCCAGTATAACTATAACCTAATTTCTAATACAAAACCCTACATATAAATTGGAGGTCCCAAAATATTAGAAGAGTCATTGCTAGAGCTATGCTAAGGGAACTGCTAAGAGGAATTTTCCATCTGAAATCTGTCATTGAAAATTTTTGGCTTGGAACATGTAATGTAATTTTAGTAAGGTATAAATCTTTATCAATATTTCCTCTATACCCTTATATCCACATTTGAAGTATATATCAAAAGGATGGTGCAAGAAAGCTAACCTGCTGTCGAAGAAGAAATTCTTTTTGAGATTTTGACAATTGTCCTTCAACTTTTTGGGTAATTTTCTCAGCTACACGTATTGACTGTGGCCGTGGACAAAAGTGGAATCAGATAAATAATGGGAAACCAAACCCACATGAAGCATTATTAACTCTATTACTTACTTGCAAGTGCCTATCAACCAATTCTGTTGCTTTTGAAAGCCTTACTTTAGGGTCAACTGAATCCAACATGGACAACTGTTCTTGAAAACTTATCTCAAAGCTAGCAACAAATATATCAGCCAACTTGTGAACTGGAACAGTCTCCAAAAGAACTTTTGTCCTTCCACCAGTTTTTTGTTTCTAGATACATCATATAAGAATAAAATGAGCTACTAATCCTCATACAGTATAGAAATTGTTACATGCTATTAAAATATATTAAGGAAATAATATATTCAATCATGGGCTCTACTTTATATTCTTCAATCATCTGTATATGCATATCAGGGATTCTAAAGATCAATGCTCAACAACATTTCCATCTGTGTTATTGTTAGTTGAAGAGGCATTGGTGTTATTTTTTCACAAGCTTTTTACCTGCTCCAGAACAGAAATAAGCTCCATGGCAGTTGCTTTAAATTGGCGAGATAACATTATAAAATCTGGCTTTTGCTCCACCTGTTCCATATCTAGATTAGAAAATGGAAGTAACTCAGCATCTTCAAAGATAAGAATTAAATATCTATAGTGATAATATCAAGCAACTGCTCTAAGTTTTTTTTTTTTTTCCTTTTTTTAATATTAATAAAACGTGTCATTTGTTAAAATGAAAACAAGGAGATCAAAAGAATAAAACCATTCCGAGAATCACATGCCACTTCCCCCTATTGTTTATTAAGTAAGTAGTGAGAAGGTGTATGTACAATTGAAACATTGAACACTCAAAATCTGACCTTTAACATTTTCTTTTTCAAAAATAAGCAGATAGTTGCAGCAAATAAATGTTTGAACTTTCCTCAGATTGGCACCAAAAGTTATTAGACTCTCACATAGTGACAGATTGGAGCTAGTATGCTATTATTAACAGTGCTTATGCTTCAATAATTGTTAGGCCCAATGAGGGAATTCAGGACCAGGTTATTGATGAGTCGAGGAAGCCCAAAGTATGGAAAGTATATACTAGAAAGAGGAATTGTTAGGCCCAATGGAGGAATTCAGGACCAGGTTATTGATGAGTTGAGGGAGCCCAAAGTATGGAAAGTATATACTAGAAAGAGGAATAATAATAAGCAGTAATATGAGTGGCCCAGTTAATAGATTAGAGGAATGTATAAATAGTAAGTTAGTTTACATTGTAAGGGGATGATGAATATTTTTGGTTAGTTGGATGGAATTATTTCTCTTTCGGAGCTATAGCTCTAGGGGACTCTTGTAGTTCTATTTTTGTTTCTCTGTTCATAATCAATAAGAACAATTCATTCTTTCTTCTAATTCTTGTTCTTGAATCCTATCAATTGGTCCAACCTGCCGGATACAAAAAAAAAATTGCGCCATGAGTACGAGAACGAATGAGAGATTAGATGCATTGGAAAAATCTATCGATGATTTACGAGCCAATGGAAAAATCTAGGTTATTTTATAGGGGCTTGAAAGAGGACATTCGACTCAGGGTTCGTACTTTGGATCCAACAACAAGGAAGCATGCCATGAAGTTGGCCAGGGGGTTTGAAGCAGAGTTGGTAAAGTTTAGGGATGCTATGACGTAGCAGGTAAATCTTCCTCAGGGAACAGTTTCGGTGGCTCAGGATTTTGACGAGACTCTTTTCCCGCATTTTCTCATGGGGGTTCTCGTTCAGTGGTGGCTTACGTTACCCAGGGACCCAAAGAGCCTTCGTTTGGGGCGTAATCCGGGGTTTCTCGCGCTGGTGTAGATAATCGTTTTGGTGGAAATCGTAGTAGAGGGGTTCGACATCTTTCGCATGATACAATGCTTGAAAACATAGCAGATTAGGCCTCTGTTTTAAGTGTGGGGAAAAGTTTGGTCCATGCCATTAGTGTAGAGACAAGTCCCTGCGTTTGACTATTATGGCTGAGGATGAAGAGGTCCAAGAGGAGTTTTTTTTTTTGGAGCCTTTGGAAGTTGATGGTTCTAAAGAAGATGCCAAGGAGCTGGAATGCAAGGTGATGGGATTTTTGGACCTTTCTAGTTCTAGTCTAGAGGTTGCCAAAGTGATGAAGTTGAACAGGCTGTTAGGAGGGGTGGTAGTAGTAATTTTGGTGGATAGTAGAGCTAGTGCCAATTTTGTAGCCCCTTAAGTGGTGCAAGCATTAGGCCTAGAAATTTTGGAGGAAACGAAACTACAAGTCAGGTTAGGCGATGGACACCTAGTGTTTACGAAAGGATTATGTTTCAATGTAATTCAGGTGCTGAAGTTTGGATGCTAGTGGATGCCCATGTGTTAGATTTAGGGGGCCTTGATGTCATTTTGGGTATTTCTTGGCTCAAGACGTTGGGCAAAGTCGTGGTCAATTGGAGTGACATGAGCATGTCTTTCTCTTGGGGAGACACAATTGTTGAGTTGTGTGGTGTCGGGTCAAAGAAGTCAAGCAATAGGAGAAGGTTGGCTGCAAAGAACACTGTACTCTTGAACAATTTAATTGGGACGGATGGCTTGTCAATTGAGAGAATTTCGTGGAACAAGACAGATCAGTGGGGGTTGAATTTTAAGGCCGATATATCTCCTTCACAGCAAATAGAGTTAGGTGTACTTCTTGATCAGTACAAGGAGGTTTTCGAGGAGCTTAAGGGTCGTCCTCCCGCTAGTTCCACAATACATGCAATCAACCTTAAAGAAGGGTCAGAACCAGTAAATGTTCGTCCCTACAAATACCCTCATTATCATAAAAACAAGATCGAAAAACAGGTGCAGAATTTATTGTCTCAGGGAATTATTCGCCATAGTATCAGTCCTTTTTCCAATCCTGTGATTCTTGTGAAAAAGAAGGACAACTCGTGGCATATGTGTGTGAACTATCGGTCCTTAAACTCCATAACTATTCCAGATAAATTCCCTATTCCAGTAGTAAAAGAATTAATGGATGAGTTGTTTGGTTCCAATTTCTTTTCTAAATTGGACTTAAAATTTGGATACCATCAAATTCGAATGCGCACGGACGATATTTGTAAAATGGCGTTTAGGACTCATGAGGGACATTATGAGTACCTAATTATGTCATTTGGTCTTATGAATGCTCCTTCCACATTTCAGTCCACTATGAATTCTCTATTTAGGCCTTTTTTAATCAAGTTTGTATTGGTTTTTTTTTATGATATACTTGTCTATAGCAGCGATTGGTCCTTGCACATGAAGCACTTGAGTTGTGTATTGCAAATTTTAGCAACCAATCAGTTTTATGCTAACAAAGGGAAATGCTATTTTGGTCAGTAGCAAATTGAGTATCTTGGCCACGTTATTTCAGCAGATGGTGTTCAAGTCGATCAGAGTAAGGTGCGTAGTGTGTTGGACTGGCCCCAGCCTAAGGGTGTGAAGGGTGTGTGTGGTTTCCTTGAGTTAACTGGGTATTATCGTCGTTTTATCCAAGGATATGGGAAATTGGCCAAACCATTAACGGAACTCACCAAGAAGGATAGTTTCAAGTGGAATTCTTTGGCTGCCCAAGCTTTTGCTGCATTAAAGCAAGCATTGGTTACTACTCCAGTACTCACATTGCCAACTTCAATGAACAGTTTGCTATTGAGTGCGATGTGTCTGGGATTGGAATTGGTGGGGTACTTATGCAACATGGCAAGCCTATTGCATATTTTAGTAGAGCTTTATCTGCTGGTCAGTTAGCCAAATTGGTGTACAAGAAAGAATTGATGGCGATGGTTCTCGCAATTCAACATTGAAGAAATTATCTCTTAGGCCAAAAATTCACTGTTTTTACTGATCAACGCAGTTTGAAGCATCTACTACAACAACGGGTAGCTTCTGCAGATCAGCAATGTTGGATTTCAAAGCTGTTGGGGCATCAATTTGATGTTTTATACAGGCCAGGGTCCTCGAACAAGGCTGCAGACGCGTTATCTCGTCGAGGAAGTGAAGAAGAGCAACTTTACTCATTACTTTCCTTTCCACAATGGGATCAGCTCTCTGTTATTCAGAAGGAGGTGTTGGCAGATTCTTTTTTAAGTCAAGTAATTTCGGATTTACGGAAGAACCCAAATTCTCGATCTAGGTACACGTTCAAGGATGAGGTTTTATATTACCACAACAGATTGGTATTGTCTGCTAATTCTTCTCTCATCCCTAACTTGTTACATGAGTTCCATGCCTCTGCTACTGGAGGTCATTTTGGGTTGATTCGTACCTATTGACGTTTGGCTGGAAATGTTTATTGGGTGGGCATGAAGAAAAGAGTCAAACTTTTTATCCAAAGCTGTGATATTTGCCAGCGCAGTAAGTCCGAGGCTCTTTCTCCCATGCGTTTGCTGCAGCCGTTGCCCATTCCTTCTCAAATATGGGACGAAATTTCTATGGATTTTATTGTAGGGCTTCCCAAGTCTAAAGGGTTTGATGCTTTATTTGTCATGGTTGATAGGCTCTCTAAATATGCGCATTTTATCCCTCTTAAGCACCCTTATTCGGTGAAACGAATTGCTGAGATTTTTGCCCGCGAAATTGTTTGTTTGCATGGGATTCCATCCTCTATTTTGAGTGATCGTGATTCGGTCTTCGTGAGTCACTTTTGGCAAGAACTATTTTTGCTTCAAGGCACTAAATTATGCCTTAGCACTGCTTATTACCCTCGGTCCGATGGGCAAACGGAGGTGGTAAACCATTGTCTTGAGCAGTATTTACAGTGTTTTGCTGTTGATCATCCGCGTAACTGGTCCCTGTGGGTTTCTTGGGCAGAATTGTGGTATAATACCACATATCATGTGTCCATTGAAACATCTCCATTTGAGGCTGTCTATGGTCATAGCCCTCCTTCTATTCCGAAACTGGTGGTTGGAAAAATTCGTGTTGAGGCTGTTGCTTGTGAGTTGCAAGACCGCGATGAGGCTTTGAAGCAGCTCAAGCAACACTTGTTAGGTGCTCAGGAGGCTATGAAGAAATTTGCTGATAAACGTCGTCGTCATGTGGAGTTTCAGGAGGGTGATTGGGTCCTCATTGTCAACACTTTGTTGCTTCCCGTATCCATCAGAAATTGGCTCCACAGTTTTATGGTCCTTATCAGATTTTGGGTCGTGTTGGCTCCGTTGCTTATCGTTTGCAGCTCCCTGTTTCTTCCAAGATTCATCCAGTGTTCCATGTTTTGCAACTTAAGTGTGCTTTTGGGCAATATCAATCCTCTACAGAGTTACCTGCTAATTTGGAAACTGAGGAAATTGCAGATCCTGCTCTGGTGCTGGCTAGTCGTTGGGTTTCTGCTGAGGGAAAGCGCATCAAACAATTTTTGATACAGTGGAAGGGCTGTTCTGCTTCTGAGGCAATTTGGGAGGATGAGTTTTTCCTTCGCCATCAGTTTCCCTCTTTCTGCCTTGAGGACAAGGCTGCCACTTCAGGTGGTGATATTGTTAGGCCCAATGAGGGAATTCAGGACCAGGTTATTGATGAGTCGAGGAAGCCCAAAGTATGGAAAGTATATACTAGAAAGAGGAATAATAAGCAGTAATATGCGTGGCCCAGTTAGTAGATTAGAGGAATGTATAAATAGAAAGTTAGTTTACATTGTAAGGGGATGATGAATATTCTTGGTTAGTTGGAAGGAATTATTTCTCTTTCGGACTCTTGTAGTTCTATTTCTGTTTATCTGTTCATAATCAATAAGAACAATTCATTCTTTCTTCCAATTCTTGTTCTTGAATCCTATCAATAATAAATGCTTTCATAGCAAAGGGGAATAAAACGTTATTCAGAACATTTATGTCCAGTAAGAGTAAGGAATAGATTCCCCTGCTTAATAGTGTAATTTTCATAACTTAATAACATACTTAGGTGGAACATATTACTAAATGCATTCATTGTTAAATTATTATAATTATCATTATTATCACTATTGTTGTTGTTGTGTCCAATTTCTGATGTTTTAATTGGTTGCCAAAAAAATAGAAAGAAAAATTAGAATGAAGTTTGAAACTAATATCCTTAGCATAAAAATATACAATTCCTAAACAAAATTCATGTTAAGGAAAACATGTATGATTTACCAGTCTTAGTCATCTCAAGGGGTGAGATCCTTGCAGTATGGTAAGTTCCTCTTGTGCTAAGTTCCTGGACACTAAATCTGCATAGACCTTCAAGAACAACAATATATGTGACTCTGCCACTTGGTTTCTCCACTCCCCTTGATAAGTGTAGTGCTCGAGCGGCTACACCCCTGGAATTGAAGGTCAATTAAGATCCACCTCCATTTGATGATTTTTTTCACCTCAAAAGTCTACTGATAACTTACTCACTTCATAGCATTAGAAAGTTGAGGGAAGGTCTGATATGAAAAGTTGAAGGTAATAAATATGAAAGAGGAACCATCAATTTAGCAGAAAAGAGACCGCAAGGTAAATCAAATCCACTATAACATATCTTTTGCTGAGATAACTTTATGCAGACAGGCTGATTAATTGTTAGATTGTAAACGCTATCAAGTAATTTGATCTTAGGTTCTTGAAGTGGCACAAAAAATGTTAACCCACGCTATACCTGCTATGCCAATGAATAACATCATGCTGCTTCTTTGTATCAAGTTTATGAGAACCTGATGAACCACCTTGCACTTTTGAGCTTTGGTCTAGCGAATCAGAACCTATGCCTATAAGGGAGAGGAATAGAAAAACGAATATCATAACCTTTTTCGCTCTAAAAAGTGCAAAAACTAAAGATCAGTTAATCACCTTGAGATATAGTGGGACCCACTGGCTTAATTTCAGCAGCATCTCGAAGTGGCAAGATCCCAATCAACCCTTTCTCCTCTCGTTGCCAAAGTTCTTGTTCCACCAACTTGACACTGCATTCGAAATCAAAAGTTTAACCAAGCTAGTTCGTTAACAACATGCATCGCTTCAGTTCTGTTTCAAGTTAACTAATGGTCCATCATTGATAATTTTAATAATAGAAGGGAGAAACAACCATAAAATTCACAAGTTCCATAATATTGAAGTGGAACGATACAGAAAGTTGTGTAAGAAGGAAGAAGAACCTGCTAGGAGAAGTGCAGCGAATTCGAATGATGGCGCCAGGTAAAAGGACCTTGTTCCTGAAAGGAAGGATTGCTAAACGACTCGGAAGTTCAACAAATTCCGCCATGTATCCGATGAGAGAGAGAAAATGGCGCGTGCTTTGGTTAGTGAGGTTTGGTTTTACTCTCTCGCAGTGGCATCCAAATGCAATTGGGTTAGGGCCTTCGATTTTTAATTGTGAAATTGGTGTGTGTTGACGTTGAAATTAATGTCTATCCAATAAACCCATAATACCAAACTCCTATTCTTATTCCTATGGCTATCATGTAATGTGAATGCTGCATCGCACCTAACTAACATATGCAAGTGACCCATTATAACACGTTCGTACCGCGTCCGTCTCTTCATCAAAATTCATAATTATTATTTTCCACTTGAGCGCCATCCCAGTCAACCAGGAACTGATCATCATGTTAAACTTTTCCGCGAAAATAATGTGTTTATCCATTTTTTTTCTTGGATGGATCAACTCCTCCACTTTGCTTAAAAAAAAATAGTGTATGCACAATTTGTACATTAAATTAATAAAATATTTTTTTAACGACACATGTTAAAAATAACATTTTTTATTCAAAATTATAGTATTTAATATTATTAAAATGTTAATTCTATAATATTTTATAATGTATAATAAAATTTTAAATTTTTTAGCAAAATGTTACCAATACTTTTTATTGTAATTGTCAATATAATTTTACTATAGTTATATCCACTCAATACTACAACTTAATTATAAAAATAAGAAGTATATTACTACTTAGTGAGTAAGTATTGTAATAGTTTATTATACAATTTTTTTAAATGTTTCAACAATACATGGTAAGAAGCATTAAATTGACCATATTTAATGCTTTAAATTATATATAAAAAATATGTATTGGGTATTTTTATAATTTTAAAATAATAAATAATCTTTGCAACAAATTTATTTATAATTTTTAAAAGTAACAACAAAGAAATAAGAATTTTTCAATAACTTTGATTATTTATAAAGCTTGTAAATATTATTATTTTTTCAAAGCATAATATGTGTTAGAATAAATGATATGCGTTAGAATAATTATTGTATAAATATAACATTTATAGACATAACTAATTAAAAATTTAAGATCCTTATTTTTAGTCAGTAAGTATAAATTTTATTTTATAAAATTTTAAAAATATTATTGGTCCGAACATCGTAAACAAACTAAAATAAAATTCTGATGTACTACATAAAGTGACAAATGTCAACTTTAATTTGACAAAAACGACATTGTTTTCATGTAAAGTAATGCTAAATTTATTTTATTATTTTAATTTAAAAAATAATTTATTAGTTTATAGATAATCTTAAACTATTTTTCACTCTAAGTATTTTTTGGCTCCGTGGCAAAAGGTTTCGTCAAAAGAAATGTTGATTTTTTATTAAATTTTTAATTGAATTTTGCCAAGAAAGTTACAAAATTAATAGGAACATGACACGTGTCACGTACAGAAAAATTTTGCATATTTGATGGCGAAGATTTCAGTTTTAATTTATTTTTAAATAAACTTCGCCACAAGATTGGTAAAACAAATAAGGACTCAACATGTATCAACACTGTGGTTAAATTCGCAATTTTAATAGCGAAATTGTTGCAGAATTCGCCAGCCAATCTACCAAACTTATAGGGCAAGTGCCATTAATGAAAAATTTTGCAAATTATATGGCAAAATTTGAATATTATATATACCCCTACAACCTCTTCTCATTTTCACTGAAGAATAGCAAATTAAAAGAAAATCAAGTAAGTTTAATTTAATAATTTTGTTATTTAATTTTTAATTTATGAATTTAGTTATTTTTAATTAAATAAATTGTTAAACTAAGAATGAGTATTGTTTATTTTATTTATGTTAATTATTGTAAAAATTAAATATTAAATAAAGTTTATTTGTAAAAATGCAAAATGAGTGAGATTGTTATTATTATTATTATATATTGGAATGGTAGAATCTATGAAAGAAATGAAGGAGTGAGTTTTGAATGAAGTAAAAAAGTGATTCAGATAAAACCAGAAATAAGTCATGAAATATTGAAAAGAAAAATTCATTTGAAACTTAATCTTAACCATAATCAAGATTAATTTCTCATTTTTTTATTGATGAAAATATTAGACAATATACAGCTTTAGATATATGTGATGATGAAGATATTAATTGCATGATAAGTACATTTTAACAACAATCTAATAGAAATATTATTAAGTTAAATGTTGATATTGCTGTTGGTGGAAGTTCATTAGCGCCCTTACAGACGATGAATTTAAATTTATCACTTTTACAACAAAATGATAAACCCTTGTGAGTCGTGATTATAATGAAGCTAAAATTATTTACATTGTAATAGCTTTTAAGTAATATATGTAATTGATTAAATTTAAACTGATAAATTTGTTGCAATAAAAGAGTTAGGAATGATGTTGGTGAAGGTCATGAAAACTCAAATTATGAAAATTACATTGATAGAGATGATGGAGTAAAAATTTTGTTAGACAGTTCTTCTTCTACTAATGTTGAAGGCGAGTTTCATTCTAACTTAAATATACAAGTAATTAAAAATGTAGGAGGTAATGTGGAATAATTATAAAAATTTTGTTTTTTGTAGTTATTTATTTATATATTCATGCTACTCTAAAGTATAAGTATATTAATTGAGAATATCCTAATCAAGAAATGAATGAAGAATATCTTCAAAAAGTCAATTTATGGGTTGAAGGAGATCCTTTATTCGTTAGCTTGTTATTTGACAGTAAAGAAGATATGAAAAATGCGTTAAAACACTATGTAATGAAAATTCATCAAATTTATTTTGTGGCTAAGTCTAAACCAACATGTTTGTACGTTAAATGTTTAAACCATATCTCTGGTTGTCTATGGAGAGTGAGAGCTTCATTGTTGAAGAATTCAAACAAGTGAAAAATTACTAGGTGGGGTGGTTCACATACATGTATCAATCTGAGAATTTCTTAAGATCATAAAAAATTAGATTCTGATTTAATTTGTTCATGCATTCTTGGTAAGACAAATATTTTTTTTTTACAATGACATTCTTATTAACTAGAGAAAATTTATTTTATGTAGGAATAGTGAATGAAAAACCGTTGGTACATATTTCATCGATACAATAGTGAATCTGTGCTCAGTTTCGATACAAAATTTCATATAAAAAAGCTTGAAAGGCGAAGCAAAAAGCCATTGTTAAAGTATTTAGTGATTGGGATAAATCATACGCTACTTTGTTACGTTGGTTAGAATACATGCAATTACATTCTCCTGGATCTGTTTATAAAATTAAAACAACAGAGTATGTGTCATTAAGTAGATAATAGGTGTAGAGTATTTGAACGATTATTTTGGTCATTCGAACAATGTCACGAGGCTTTTAAATTCTGTAAACCTATATTACAAGTGGATGGGACATTCTTATATGCTAAGTATCGTCATACATTGTTCATTGCAACAACTCAAGATGGAAACAATTGTATCCTTCCAATAGTTTTTGTAATTGTTGAAGGAGAAACTTTGTCAACATAAGAATAGTTTTTGACATTGATTCGTTTGCATGTTACTGATAGATCAGGAATTTGTTTGATATCAGATAGACGTCAAAGTATAAAAGAGGCTATGTCAAATTCACACATTAGGTAGTAACCTCTAAATGCGTATCATGTATATTGCATTTGTCATATTGCCAGCAACTTTAATCATCGGTTTAAAAATATAGCATTGAAGAAGAGCTCATCAAATTGGGTATATATTATTTTTTTTTTAATCTAGATTATTGTTAAAATATTAGATAGCCATTGAATCCGTCGGTACATCTTTTAATGTTTTGAATGTTGTATATGTAGGTTATACACCATCGAAGGTCATATTTCAACAAAAGTTAACTAGATTTTTTGCAATGAACCTGAAGATATACAAAGGTGGATTTATTGCATATTAAAAGAGAAATAGACATTATCTTATGATGACGAAGGACAACATTATGGACACATGATCATAAATCTTTTAGAATCAATAAATAAGGTGTTGAAAGGTGCTAGAAACCTGCCTATAAATGCAATAGTTAAAGCCACCTATGAACGATTAGTTGAATATTTTGTGAAGCGTGAAGAAGAGGTCATCTTTGACCTTCACAATGGAAGCATGTTTTGTCATAAAGTGATGTTGCAAATTTTAAAAAATCAACAAGAAGCTTCACCACACCAAGTTTGTCTATATGACATACAAAGAAAAAGTTTTGAGGTTGAAGAAGTTTTTAATTCAATAACACAAAGGGGTGGACACAAATAGACAGTTATATTGGATAGGAGATTCTGTCAATGTGGAAGATTTCAGTCTTATCGATTTTCTTGTTCGCATGTGATAGCGGCCTATATAGCTGTGAGTATCGATTTTTAGCAATATGTGGACCTAGTTTATTCAATGTAATATGTTATAAATACATACTCCCCACAGTGGTTCCCCCTTGGAAATGAATACGACATCTTTACAAATAGTGAATGGAAGTTAGTGCCTAATATTGACAAAGCAAGAGGTAAAGGCCGACCAAAGTTAACTCGTATTAGGAATGAAATGAATTGGGTTGAGTCACAAACTAGACAAAGGTGTTCCAAACATAAAGAAATAGGTCATTAGTCATCACCCAAAGTTGTCTACTCTCCCAAATTTCTAACAAAGCACTGAACTTGACTAATCAATCTTCTTCAGTCTTCCCTTTAAGGGTAAGGTCATATAGTTAGTCAGGCTAATAAAGAGCCCTTGGTATGTGCTAAACCATACCAAAGTGACGCATTACTCTATTAGGTTGATGTCACTCACATACTTGAAAACATATAAGTGGTACTACTGCCTTCCATAAGTCCATACCGTCTCTACATATAGGTGGTAATATGTTGATGAGTTTCATATTGTATGACACTCACACAATCTATATGATGACATAAAAATAAGATTAATAACAAATCAAAATTAATTAGTGTAATAAAACTCATTTAATACATGTTATTTAAATAAGTAACTTAGTATAAAAGTTGGCTATAATACCTCTTCATGTGCTAGATGATCAAAAATATATTTGTAGTACTAGACATCTTTCTTCTCCTTTCTGATAGCGTGGGATAACCATCTATAAGTAATTTTGACCAAAAAAACATGAAGTCAAACAAATAACATTATAAAAAACCTACAAATGCGTAGAAAAACAATAACAATAACAACTTACCTAACACCATGAGAAAGATAGGGATGTGTATGAGGGGATTGGTAGGTGCTATTTGGGAAAATCTATCTCAAGCCCACATCACAATCAATGCAGCAAGTCCTCCAATAGCAACACGATTAATGTTGGTGACCATTCATAACTCTCGGTACAAATAACCTAGAACTGCAGAACCCCAATTATATTGATCGGTTAACTCAAAATCTTTAAGCAAAGGCAAGTATTTGATAGATACCCTACTGCTAGAGTGATCAGGAAATATGAACCCTCGAATAAGCCTCAATATATATGCCCTAACAAACCGAGTAATCTACAGTGGAATCTGATTATGCATTGCAATATAAGTAAAGTGTTCGTCCAACCAGCTCATCTTTAAGAAATTACCTACAAAAGTATCTGATTCTGGTCTAATACCTAGGCTGTCTTCAACAATCTGCGTCCAATCACCTCCAGTGGGTCCCATCTATGCGTAATCCTAAGAGAATAGCAACATCTTGAAGGGTAATACTACACTCTCTAAGGGGCATGTGGAAGGTGTGCGTCTCGGGCCTTCACCTCTTCACTAATGCAGTAATCAATCCCACGTCTATAAGAAGCTGGGACAAATTAGTCACTCCAATAAAACCTGCTAACTCCAAATGTGGAATAATTTCTTTTGGAACACCCTTTAAGTTACTGGGAATATCTTGACTCTTCTTAACCCTCAATATCAGGTGATCACATCTATTCTAAATATGTTCAAAAATATGAATATTCTGAAACTGAAGAAGTGATTGATCTTCTTGTCTGGGATTAATAACCTTACTTTATTGTGAAGATGATGTCATATATACAACAAAAAACATATTAGTAAAAAAATTTCATTCAACAATAATAATAATAATTTATATTTTACTAACATAATTAATAATACATATTTTATAATAGTTAAATAAATCTACTAACAAAATATTATCACATTGTAATGACATAAATATATATTCATTAAATGCAAAAATCAGGTATAATCTCATCAATTAAATCATAACTATAATTTTTTTTACAAAATAAAAACTAAATTACTAATCTATATTCTATACAAATTATAATTTATGCAGTATCAATTTTATTTTAAATAAAAAAATTCTTATTACTTTTTCATAGATATTACTAAAGATATACAAATTTTTAATTATTGTAATTTTTTTCATATTAAAATATACTTAATAAAATTTATATAAATAATGTTACGTTATTTAAATACAAAACTCTAATTCTTAACATAAAATTAAATTAAATTATTATTATTTTCATATTTTCAGTATAAATTTACATAAATTGCATACAGTTTATAATTATATAAATAATGTTACGTTTTTTAAATTAAAAATATAATTATTTACATACAAATTTTATACATACATAAAATTCATACAAATTATAATTATATCTTAATTATTTTACATTATTAGTGCATTTCAAAATTTTACAGCCACGTGTCATTATTACTGTATTTCAAAATTTACAATTTCAAAATTTTACTTAATTTACTATATATGTGTAAAAATTATTTATTACATTAAAACTAAATATAAATTATTATATTTAGTTTTATATAATTATTTTATTTAACTAATTTTCTATTATTCTGTTTTTTTACAAATATATATAACCATTTATGCAAACAAATTATATAAATTTAAATTTAACCTCTTATTAACAATTAATTATAGTTTTACTTTTTAATCAACTATATCACACTTTAATTTTTTTAATAAACATGTTAATCTATATACAATTTAATGAAAAACTATTTAAAATTCAAATTTTTTTTACTAACCTTAATAAACCTTCAGCCAAATTATTTACTACTCATTCCACACTTAATCACTTGCATAAAATTAGAAATTATTAAAAAATTAATTGTTGCCATTTCTTAGATTTTCTAATTAACAAATCAAATTAAAAATAATATATGAATATGTATATACTAGATCTATACATCTTAAACTCGTAAAAATTTTGACCCTTCACAATGCAAATATAAAATAGAATTTTAGAGAAATTTTGGAAAGAAAAATAGTACACGACGGAGGACAAAGATGAAGAAATGAGAATGGAAATGGAAAAAAAAAAGGAAGAAGGCGGAGAAGATAACTGTTTAGTCAGCTACATGTCAAACTGTGATTGGTTTCGCTAATGGTAGGGCGAAACATACTTTTGTCAGTAGCAGCACAAATCAGCTGAGATGTTGTCACGTGTATAAAAACTCTCCAACCGTTTATTTTAAATTTATTTTTATGAATTATTTTTAATTTTAGTAACTTTAACGATTCTAATAACGAAATAGTCATAAGTTTCCGTCACATGTCACTATCTAATTATCTGCATTTTGGTTGTAGTAAAATTTAATGATTATTTTGTCAGTCAAAAAATGGTTCATTCTATTTATTTTAAATTTTTTATGGTAAAATAAATATAAAAAAAATTTAAAAATAAATTACTTTCACGGGCCTTTACGCAAAAAAAAAATAGTCCACTTGACAAAATAAAAACACATACAAAGAAATAGAATGAGATTACCTGTACACTGATAAATTGCTTTTGCCGAAAGTAACAAACCTATTATCATTACCAATGCAAAGGATCAAAGAACGACGCCCTTTGTGGTGTGGCCTACCGTAAGAGCGGTGATTGGCTAGTGGGTCAAATCGCTAACTTTAGGCGGTGGTGAATCTCAAAAACACCTTCTTCTCTGTGAAGAAGTTCATTGGCAAGAAGATGGTTGAAGGGGACAAATAGTCCAAGCAGGTATTCAGGGTCATTAGGGGATGAGAATGACAGCGTCAAACTCAAATGTCCCGCCATAAATTTTCTGCTCCAAAACTAAACCCAACAAAGAGCATCCTCAAAGCTACCCCATTTTCCCTCACTTCCAATCACACCTTTTAGTAACAACTCATACTCCTTAATGTCTTTTCCCATCGAATTAACCATTTAATAAGTGTGTTGTTCATTTCTCAATGTTCAAGTCTTCTTCCTCTTTAGGTCAGTTTCTTTTCACCTAAGTTGTTGCTTGCTAAGAAAAGAAAACAAAATAGGGAGAAAACTTGAATCATGAGATTTGGTGCATTGAAGTTCAACATTCCCCAATTTTGAGCTCAAGTTTTTTCATTGTGTCTGATTTATTCATATCTCTCTCACCCTAGTTAACTCACAAAATGCCAAGATAACTCTTTTCATTTACAAAAATAGTCAATTTTTTTCATTCTTTTTTTAGGTTGGTCTCATCTTATAGTCTTTGTTATTGAAATTAATTGAGACCTTCAAAGTTGCCTTTCTGCAACACTGCTTTTGTTTCTTAGAAGTTTGAAACTTGAAAAGTAATTGCATTCTACAAAATGTGCTCCTCGTTAGTCTAATTTGAGTCTCATTCCTTCATAACTTCCAATTTTTGGTACTCAAATTCATCTTTTGCTGGTTTTTTGCTTTAGGATAAGAAGGGCTTCAACCTTAGAATCTTCATTCTTCCTTTTGCAGCTGTTAGTCATACAAGGGTCTTAGCATTGTCCAATTTCAAGTTGATTTGATAATTTTATGGCGCTGCATTGTCAATCTATTGGAAGCGGTGTGATGCTCGTGGCATTAAAATATTGTGATAGCTTGTTGAATTTCATGCTACATACAGTTTTGACAACTCTGATACCGTTGGGTTCCAAACCTTTTGTTGTTGACAATAATTGTTGGGTTTCCCCAATGACAATTTTGCATTTGGGTTCTTCAACATTTCATATGAACTTTACTAGTTTAGTGTTGACATTTGTTTCAATTCAAAGTGACCAACAACCAGTGGTTTGGGTTGCTGGTGCTCATGTCACCATAGGTAAACAAATCCTATTTCCAACTCACTCCTGAAGGGAATTGATCTTGCTTGATTCTTTACAATGATTCACTGTATGGACCAGTGGAACTAGCAATAGAGTCATTGTTTTAGCAGCTCTTCATGATAATGACAACCTTGTTCTTAATAGACACAGCAAAACATTATTTGGCAATATTTTGATACCCCATCTGATACACTCCTCATAAGATAGAGTCTAGCTTCTTATCCGATAAATCGGGATACAACCAAAAAATCCTATGTGCAGTTATTACAATCTATACATGATTGCTTCAGGTCAATTGCAGCTTCGTTAGAAGAGTAGCAATAACGTCGTTTTTGGCCCTTTGCTTTGATGATAATGGTGAGTTATCATTTTTGCCGTCAACTTTCGCACCTATTCCTTTAACCTGAAATATTGTTTATCAATGATGTCTAAATTTAGAAAAGGAGAAAGATAAAAGTTAAAAGACTATCTAAAATTTCAAATACTAAGTTTTTTTATTATTCTTTTAACATGTACTTAACTATTATGATTTATTACTGCTATCAAATAATAAAATATTTAGTTATTATAATTTTTCCATCCCTCACTAAAAAAAAGTAGTAAAAAATTTGACCACTCGTATTGATTTCATTTAAATCTTATATATCTCTATGTTACAAATCTAATTATTAATAACTTTTTTTTACAAATATTCTTTCTTGTTAAACAATATAACTTTTCCTATAACAAATATACTAACTTATCTAAGTAACAAACAGCTCAAAATTATTTAAGCAAAATATTAAATTTAAATTTTTGTATATGTATGTAAAAAAATTTTAGTGATACTCTCACATAATAATACATGACTCAAATCAGATCTAAATTAAACTGAATGAAAAACTAAATAAAAAATAAAAATAATATATATATATATATACACTAACTTATTTTTCACATTTTTTACTTAGTTTTTCTTATAATTTAAATTGAAAATTTTAAAACGTCATATTAAAATATAGTAAATATATAATATTTGTTGATTCAAACAAAATTTTCAATACTAAAAATAAAAACATCTGTTAGTATAATTTATTTTCTATAATTATATACTTTTACTGTTGACAATATTAATATTTTTACATTATATTTTCTATTTTATTTTTTTAAAATTTAACCATAATAATATCGGTATAATATAATTGACAGTTGCTAATGAATTATTAAAAATAAAAAGACAAGTATGAGAGCAACTATGTCTTTCTTCTCAATTCACCCAGTTCTAACTCTTAGAATCTAAATTAACTTCCAACCAATCTCTCGAGACCAGAAATCAGGGGTCTCTCTCTAAACAATTTGATTTACTAATGATTTATCTGATGCAAAAATAATCCCAAATTACTAGTTTAAGAATGAAGTCAACCACGTAAAAGGCTATACACAATTTGTTATGAACAATTACAACTCTAGTTAAAGGACATGACCTGCAAATCGGCCACGTAATATAATGTTCTAACCACGTCTTGAAATCCGCGAATAATTAAAGTATACCCGTGGCAAGTCTTTGATTGGATTGACAACCATGAATGTTCTATCATTCACAATCAAGTTTGTGGATGTGGCTTTCAAAAAAGAAAAGGCCAACGCATCTTAGCAAAATAGTCGAGAAAGGGTAAGTGGATAAATTGCATGTGCGCGTTGGCAGTTGCCCCCACCTGGTGCTTTCATAGGCCATAACAGCCAAAATACAACTAACGACATCGCAGAATCAGGGAGAATATACATTATCCAAATTGCCATTGGATGCGGGAAAGCAGTAATAATCACGACACAAGCACAGCCTCCGTCCAACTCATATTACTGTCTTCTTAAGTAAGTTAGATCTTCCGGAGCACGAAGAAACCAAAATGGAGATTTACATAAAATCCAGACTATGTTAATTGCAACTGACAGTGAGGTTCGTCACGGACCCTCTTGGGCTTCCAGTCGGATTCTTCCTTGCTTTGTCGAAGAGCAACAAAATGCAAAGCATCACTCTGTACTTGATAGATATGACAGGACCATGGATATGAGTCAGGTGCAGACCAGACCTTCAGATCTTCGAATTCTGTTTCCTCAATCAGTGAATCAGCAACACAGTACACAAGATCAGGCTCTGGTTCCATATAACCAGCAACGGCAACGCATCCAGGAGCTACAAATCCATCTGGAGCTCGTGGGTGCCAAATTGATATTGGAGCAACATAATCTTCTAAACAATTTCGCCACACCTACAGAGGGTGTCAAACCATTCTTAGGTGATAAGGCATAAAACTTCTGATCTAACTAATCATGATTACCAGTGTCCATGATTACCAGTGCTGCTAGTGCTACCATTTTGGAAAAACCCAACAAGAGTCATTTTCTTTATCAAATATCAGTTAAAGAAAATCCGCATGTTATACAAAACTGCTACCCAACAAGAAATAAGCAGAACACAGAGGACTGCATATTCCATCAATGTCATCTTACTATTTCTTGTCTAAATCATCCAAAGGTGTCATCCGTAATACAGTATGGAGTAAATTATCAGTTATCGGCTGAAAATCATTATTCTCAAAATTAAGGAAAAACTAAGTGCCTTTAAAAGATGAAAACCTCTCCTCTGGCACAGACATGAAAGCATGTGACAGTGGAGGACAAAATATTGCTTTCAACCCTTCAGGATAGTGTTCATTTTGCCTTTGCCCCAAAAATATTATTTCGCAAGGAAACAGCACAACTAACCCTTCAGTGAAATGAAAAATGTAGTCTTCCCAGAAATCTTAGCCAAATGAGTAGGAAAAAAATCCAACAAAAATGAAATTAGGTGGCTAAACTGAACAGGCAAGTTCTGGAGCATCATTTTGGCACGGGAGTTTTATTTCTGAGGTTCTATATTTGCTAGAAGAAATCTCATCTACGGTTAAGTTTTTCTTCATTCCAACTTTAGGATATGGTAGTTTGAGTACGTGAAAAGGAGTAGAAAATTTGAAATGAAAATTACTTTAACTTGCTTGATACAAATTTTGACCCCCACTATAGCATTAAAGTAAGTGAAGATGATTTTCTAACTTCTTCAAGCAACAAGTGAAAATCAAAACTTTTCCATCTCACTCCATTTCACTCCCCTCCTTATTCTCCATCACTAAAACAAGCATAGTTTTGATGTTTTAATTCTGATAGTTGAGACATTGGTAGAGTGGTTAACCCTTATAATTCGGCTCATAATTTTTTTAAGTTTTTTCTTTGTTCTTTTGCTAGATTATGTTTCTTCACTATTTTATGAGCCTCCTCAAGGCTGGGCACTTCTAATTTTCTTAGAGGCTTACCAGGTCATATCCCATTGGGAGAGTAAAACATCCATCAATCTTGCGGTAGACAGCAGCAACATTTGGAGGATGGATGCCAACATGAGCAATATCTCCAACATATATATACCTGCAAAAGTAATTGTTTTGACATTACAAATATGTACAAGGCATAAAGGCGTGTCCTTTCAAAAATTTAATTAATTAATCCAATTAAATGAAGGACCCAAGAATACATTTCATAATTATAAGAAAATAACTTTCATAATTCCACATGACTTCATCAAAATAATTTATGTTTGCAGCAACTGCAAAGCAGAAGAATAGAGTTAACAGAAATTACAGAGAACATCTCTTTTCTGTTTTAATTCATAGGAAGACTGAGTGAACCCAGCCAGATAGTGATGAGATTGCCTCCAATGACACATCAAGTTGGGAAAATAATGTTGTCCATGAACACTACTAGTCCTCTTTTCAGCAAATTAAGAATGTGAAGAAAACTTCTGATACATGACCAGCTCTGTTTTGACCAAATTCATGCCAAGATAAAAATACCAACCAATCTTTGTGTAACGGGTGAAATGACTAAGCAAAGCATAAAAATGAAACTTTAAATGGAAAATGGAAACCATAACAAATGTGACATTTCTTAAATTTTTTCAAACAAAGTAGTATAGATTCTATAGAACAAATAAAGCAAGTCGCCAAGTCCAACCTATAAGACTCACAAGAATAAAAATAACTCTCATATTCAAACAACAGTAAAAGATTACATTCAGTAATAAAGTTAACAAGCTTATTGAATAAATTACATAAATCTATTCAATAAGCTAGTTATGCGTGAGACTACTTAGATAGTTGACTTGAGTGCTACTGATTATATGATACTTCATTCTTCTCATTTTCTTACTTATTCTGCATCTTTTAGCAACAAACATTATTATTGCTAATGAGTCTCATACCCAATTGCTAAAAATGGTGACATCTCTCTTAATCCTTCATTAACCTTAAAGAATGGCCTGCATGTTCTTCAACTCTCTAATAATATCTTTATTCAAAATCTCACTCAAGACATGAAATGCACAGTAAAATTTTTGCTTTCCCACTATGCCTTCCAAACATGTTCAGATTCCACAGTTTCTCAGATTTGACTTCAACATAACGTTTAGGTCATCCCCCATTTAGTGTTCTTAGGTCTCTGTTTCCTTTCTTGTTTACAAAAATCTGTCAAATCATTTCACTGTGATATGTGTTGGTTTGCAAAATATCTTCGCACAACTTTTCCTAGTAATAATCGTAGAAGTGTTGAGTCATTTGATCTTGTGCATTCCAATGTGGGAGGACCTATTCTGATTTCTAACATCTTTGACACTAAGTAGACTGCACTCGCGTAACTTGGATATTCTTGGTGAAAGATAAAACTAAAATTTTGCAACCATTTCAAAACTTTTATTGCATAGTACAGACTCAAATTGGAAAATCAATAAAACAGTTATGCTTTGACAATGGAAAAGAATATGTGAATCGAACTTTAGGGTTTAGGGTTTAAGGTTTTGGGAAGTTAAAATACTTTTTGAGAATTGAAGTTGTTTACTCTAAACAGTGCATCTTCATATCTCAGAGGAAATATGTCCTTGAAAGCTCGTCTGTTTAGCTCACACTCAACTTGACATTGCTTATGCAGTCAATATGGTCAGTCATTTATATATGACGCACTAGAAAGACATCTAAAAATTGTAACTAGAATTCTTCAGTATTTAAAGAGTAACCCGGGTAAGGAATTGCTGATTAAAAAGGAAGGCAAGCTAACACTAAAAGTGTATACAAATACGAATTATGCTGGATCGATCATTGATAGGAGGTCCACTTTAGAGTATTACATGTTTATGGGAGCAACTTTGTGACATGGAAGAGTAAGAAACAGTGGTGGCACAATCAAGTGTAGATGCAGAAATTTGATTTATTGCACAAGGAATTTGTGAGTTATTATGGATGGTTATACTTGATGATCTTAGAATATATTATGAAGCCCCTGTGAGACTATTATATGACAGTAAATCCACCATTAACATTGCTTATAATCTGGTTCAGCATGATAAAACAAAACATATTGAGATAGATCAACACTTCATTAGGGAGAAATTAAACAGTGGCCATACAATATAAGTTCTTACAAGAAGAGGGTGAATATTCTACCTAGATGACTACCCAAAGTAACTTCAAAGTCTTGCTAGCAAGTTGGGAATGTGAGATATTCATTGTGATCAAAATGATTTGTACCCTTATTTCCATGATTACCCATAATTTTGGCTTTAGACTACAGCTGTATAAATAGGTTCTTTTTGTACGCTATAAATAACACAAAATACATTTATTTTTTCAATCCTTTCAAGTTAAATACTATACTATTAAACATAAAAAATACATCAAGATATTTGGTATAAGATAAAAAAAAAGTTATAAATGAGCTAAGCAAGCTGAGCTCAAGACTCATACTTATAACCGAGCCAAGTCAAACTTTAAATGTGACTTATTTAAATAAATACGTCAAGCTTGAGCTTCAAATGCTCAACTTGCTTAGCTCACACCCCAACACATGCGCAGCCATAAAATTTAATTAATAGCAATAGTGTTGATGTGATAATTCATGCATTAGTTTTTAGGTTGTATTTCTGTTTAAATCATGCATAATCTTGCATTTAGATTGAATGATATGAAGTATTTTAGTTATTTTATTTAAGTTACTTGTTTTATGTATTTTTATGTAGAAGAGTAGTTTTTGAAGATAAAATTAGGGTAAGTTGAAGGTTGAAATGAAAAAAATAGAACTTAGTAGAATTTTGCTGTTTGAAATTGGAAGAATAAACCTTAGATAACAAAGTACACAACTCCCCTATGTTAAGGAATACACTTGTGTTCTTATCCGATCTAAAGGAGTAGAGAAATGCAGCGGCGAAGACAACTAGGTTGTGTTACAAGACACACTTGCGTTTACAATGCCGACAACAATCATTAAAAATTGATCGAACTTCCCTTTTAAAGGCCCAAATGAAAAAATATTGAAGATTTATCAATAAAAATCCTAAAAAAAAGAAAATGAAACTCTTGGTTGACAAAGAGTGAAGACATCAGAATTGCATGCTAGGAAAAAGGTCATCATTGAAACTTCTAGGATATGCTCGAAGGACTTATTTGGAATCTACAAGAGCAACATAAAATTGGTGTTCTTATGATTGTGAATTTGTTGAACCTCTTATTTATATGATTTTAAATGTTAAGAAAAGAACTGAAAGATGAATCTTATCGTTGGAAACTCCAAGATTGAACTTGAGATTCTAAATCACAAGAGTAGGTTAGGTTTCTTGAAGAATTATCAAAGTACTATAGAACATAATGCGTTTAATTAGATATAATTATCACGAAAATAGAAGTTAATTGAATTAAATACGTTATTGTATTTTGAAAGGAAACATTAATTTTGCCTGCAAATAAATTAAGAATTAACAGAAAATTTATTTTAGATAAGTTCATCAATTTTAAATTGTGATAAAACTAATCCTTACAAATTTGTTAGGATTCAAATTCCTCTATTTTAAATTAATTGCATTTTTTATTCTTTCGTCTTTTATGTTTTCCTGTTATTTCATCTTATTAATTGATTGCACTTAGTTTTACCTTATATTTTTTCAGTATTTAGTAGTACAGAAAGACGACAACTTTTTATATTACTTGACAATTACCATGACTCTATCAAGTGTATAATTGTAGAGAAGAATAATGACGATTACCCATCAGGACACATAGGCCGCCAAATGCTACATGTTCCACTAGCTTGCGAGATCTGAAACATAAAATGCTTCTTCACCATTAACCCAGTTTTACAAGCTCATGCCCCAGTGCTTACTTAAGCAAATTCAACAAGAAATGAGTAAAGGAGAATAGTAAGGCACCTGTTTTCTGCATAATGAACATCGACCTTTGTATTCTTGTTCACTGCTCCAGATCTTCGAAAAAGTAATGCTGTGTCTAACAAATCGCCTGTCATCAGATGCAGCACTGTTTGATGAGATCTCTCTTGAACTAATAATGGCCTTATTTGGGGTCCGTGATTCTCTACTATCCACTTCAGTCCAGGAAAAATATACATGTCGCTGACTTGAAGGAACCTAGAATTAAGAATTTTATTAAAATTCTGTCCCACTTCCAGAATTGAATCAGGTTTTGAATACCACTTACTTTCAGAATCAAGCTTTTCATGTTAGATTGATATGCCTTCCATGTTCTACGGACTACTGAGCATATCGTTATAGCTTGGGGTTCTCTTCCTTCAAACACTTCCACACTATTGCATTTGATTACTCGAACAAAATTTTCAGATCTCCGGAAATTTTTCAGATGAAGGATCAAGTGAGAAGGTTGGGAACTCCCTGCTTTTGCCAACTCCAGTGCCATCAACTCTTCCCAAGGTACATCCCACATAATCTTGCACGGTTTTTTATCCATATTGTCAGGAGCAAGACACTAGACAGAAACAGAAAAGACAATCAAGTTATTACTCTAGAAAAGAAACATAATCCTTACTCCCTATTACTAAATTTTTGGCTAACCTGCAGCAACATAACTCGTTTATTGGTTACTAAAACAATTTTTTTATGAGGCACAGTAAAGTGCTCTTCATAATAATCAGACAATGCAAATTTTGAAGGTTCCTTGAAAATCTCAGTGCAGCCAAATTGTCGGCTTGCCTCTCCAAGGTAAAGCACCATCTGAAACTCAATAAATAAAAATGGTTAAAAGAAAACATACATAAGGCATTGCATACAACAACAAAAGATTTGCTGATTGACAGATAACAGATTTTGCATAAAACAAAAGCACTAAAAATGTATCATAATGTATCATCAGCAATCTTTTTCTAACCAAAGATGCTCATTTTTTTTATGTTACACAAATATAATTTCATCTCTTGAATTTGGACTTGACTTGACTTAACCCTTAAAGCTAGCTTGTATGGTAAGAATGGCCTTAACTTTTATAAGTTCTATTTTAGCAAATATCTATGGTTGATGTGAAATCTCAAACACATCTTTACATTCAAGATTAGACATCCAGAGTGTAAAGATTATAAGACTAATATTTTGTATTTATGTTGCACTAAAAAAGCTGCTGTGGAACCAGGTAGACTGCATTGAAAAGCCATGGGACTAGGTTGGTTGCATAGGAAAATTCCATAGGACCAAGTTAATATTTTTTCAAAGAGTCAAGGTTGGTCCAATATCATATTTAGGATGGATCTGGTACCATCTCAACTCTAAAAACTAAGCTCATAGGTGAGAATTACTTGAACCTTTATAAGCTATACATTGTCTCTATCTATAGTTGATGTAGAATCTCAATTCTGAATATCATAAAAAATAAAAATAAGCCTTTTACCAATTCTATACAAATGGTTATTAGAAGCAAATGGAAATTCCCCCTCCTTAAAATGGTTTTACCTTAATGTTGTTTGTTCTAAGTATATTGTTGTAGAAAAAATGATTTATCAGTGCTTCATGCTTAAATTGATTTAATTGTGGACTTGGAGTACAACCAAAGTAAAGGGTTTTGATGTCTTTTCATAGTATAGCTAATATATAGGGGTATAAAGTCAGTGTTTTGTATTACAATTACTCAGTCTCAGCAATAGTATCCTGAGCATATTTAAGAATATATTGACCTAATTACCAGAATAAATAAATAGGATCATTGAGTTAGTATTTTGTATCGCATCATTACACACAATATCAATATATTATTTTTATATTGAGTATTCATTTTATTCATCTTTCTTTAGCTCTACCTAAGATCTATACTTTCAACCTTATAAGTGAAATGTATTTTCTTGTGTCCATCTATCTCTTTGTCCCATTTTTTCATGTAATACCTAAAATTTCAATGTTCAGATCAAAAGCTAAAGCATTCAGAAATATTCATGGGTTACATGGAAAACCTTAGAAAACAGTACGAAGACATGATGACACATCGTTTTAAGTTAACAGATGCTCATTTTTCATGTAAAGTTAATAGATGCTCATTTTTCATGCAACAAAGTAAACTCCCTAAAATAGTTTGAAAAGAGCCCATAGCCTTTTGTAGTTATGTAAACAATGCACTCAAACATAATGGGAACAGTATACTCCTACTACTAAAAAAAAAAAAAAAAACTTAAAAACGATTTAGTAAACTCCTGGAGATGCAATTAATTAACATACCTGCCCAATGGCTTCTCTCTCGCAATATTCTCTAAGTATCCCATCAGAATGTGTAGCCCTAGGATTCCTAATTCTGTGGAAGGTAGTCTTGCTGGTGAAAACCTCAAAGCATTTGGAACAACTTGCACCAATTCCATCAACAGTCAATGAGAAAAAATCCAGTGCCCCACTTACTGGTTGCACAATGAAACCTAAGAAGGCACGTCCAAGTCCATGAGCCAATCCTAGGATACCATTCTGTCGGGCACTCTCAACAGGCTTTCTCACTACACCAGAGACACCAAAGGCAACACCTTGAGCAAGAGCTTCTGTTCCTTGAATGATTCCATCCCCAACCCCAGTGATTCTCCTTGATCTTACCTGTTACCATATTCAAGTCATTTAGGTTTACATGGAATTACAAAATTGATTGTGATAGAAATGTTTACCTGCTTTGCACGTAATTGCAGAAATTGTCCATCAGTGGAAAGCTCGGCAAACCCTCTGCTAAGAGAAGCCAATGTTGAGCTTGTCATACCTAGTACATCCACTGAAAATATTAAATGTAGAGGATTATGAATCAAATCTCTCCAAATACGGTTTCCAATGGCTGGAACAATAGAGCTTTTCCGCATGAATCTGTCTCTGTGCATCACCCTCCTTAGATGCACCTAAAATAATAGGTCATAGCATTAGCCTAATAAATCTATAGATGGTCACGTCATTCTGGTTAAGGGAAATGTCACAAAACAAAGATGGGATGAATTAAGGCTGTTTAGGGATAACAAGAAAATTCTAAAACCCACGTATACTCCTGCATTTTCAGTGATGCAAAGAACTTGAAAACACCACAATTCCACACAATCATTTCAACAAAGAAAAGCAAAATGATTTTCTTTGTTGCTCCACTTGTGGCTGTTCTCAAGGAAGTAATTTCTGGCATGCAAACAAACTTGACAGCCTTGCTGCATATTCTTGATTTTTCATTCTTCTTGTTCTATATTGCTTTTCATGTTTTGGAAGATACCCTATTTTCCCTTTAGTTGTACATTTCCATTTTTTAAAATTTTTCTAACATGATCATAATATAGAAGATATAATTACATGCTATAGTATTAGTATCAAAAGTACAACATGACAATGGATAGGGAGTAATGCCTCCAACCTAGTCAAGGCCTCACATCTAAAGCTGGATTGCCAGTAAAAAACCAAATATCATTATAACAACCTGGCAGATATACAAAACTTGTGTTCATCCAAGTCTACATACGATCAAGAACATGATGTAGTAAAGGAAGTACTATGGCAACAAAGTGTCATCAAATTTATAAAGGGAAAGGAGAAGATACTATAAATCCATATTACGATTGAATGCAATCCTCTGCATATGTTACATAGCTCACCTGGATCTTGAAGGCATTTCCAACAGCTGAAAGTATCGGACTCCATATACCCAAGACCCCGTGAGGTCTTTGTCCCGGAGCTGTCTCCAGTGAAAACTTCAACCTTACTTCTGAAACATCTATTAAGCTGCAAAGTTAAAGAGATCAAATAAGAAAACCACATTCTTTTCAAACAAAATTACAACATAATAACATATAACTAGTCAGATAAACTGATTGTTCTCCAGTAACAGCACTATCTCAACCAAAAGCAATGCACAATTGCTGATGTTGCCTGCATTTGAGTAATGCTTCTTCCCAAGAATCCATAATAGGATGTGTGAACCAAAAACCTATTAATGGATAAGAACACATTCCAACCAATTCCCATGAAGTATAAATTTGTCACCCTCCAAATTATTTCTTTTACCCATATTAAAATGAACTCAGATACAACCACGTGAAGTAAGGAGGTTTCTTAGGGAGATAAAGAATATAAAATTAAAAAGAAAGTATAGAGAAAGTACATCTAGGTGAGGGAAAAAATCCTCCAAAATAAAATAAAAAAATAGAAGTTATCAATGCTTTGATTATATATAATAATTAAAACACAAGAAAAGTTAATTTGGAGAAAAAATATGTATTCAAAATGTTAATTGTGGCAGCATTTCTTTTAAAAAAAGTTGTTCTCTACTCCAGAAATCCACAGAATCACCACTCTATATATAGCAACTAACACAACAGATTATTGCTGTTGTTCATCAACTTCTCTTGCAACTGTTAAGAGAGAATATATAGCAATTTTGCATGCTTCAAAATGTCAATGCATTGATAGAGGATACAAACACATATAATTGACGAGAAAAGTGGTTGGTTGATGCTGATGGAGAAAATAGAAAGCCCAGCAAAAATGCAGCCAGATGTAATATACTGAAAATTTTGAACAAAAACAAAACAACTTCATCTTGAAAAATAAAATAAAAAAAAAAAGAGTACAAAGAAAGAATATTACTCAAAACGTATCTCTGGATCAACTTCTGTGACAGTTGAACTTTTGGGTAAGCGATCTAGCTGCAGATTGTTGTAGAAGTCCGCAATAGCCCAAATAAAAGGTTCATGAATATCAAGCCTCCAGCACTTCTCAGTGACCTAGAGATGCAAAGGGATTGTAAATAATACTATTTAAATACTAGAAATAGAATTTACTAACAGAAAATCAAAATATCACAAGATCACATTGTAGCATCAAATGCAACTAAGCATACTCGTATATAAACGTATGGGTAAACTTGAATTCCATCTTTATTCTCATTCTGCATGGTAATTGTCATCTTGAATACTGGGTGTTGCACATCAGAGGTCTGCTCTGGTGCCAAGAGCACAGGCATTAATGTTAGAGGGAGCTGGTTGTCCAGTTGCAAATAGCCAAATATGAGCTTGAACCTGTAAAAATAATCTGAAAATCAATTTTCTGTATGCACGAGTAAACTTAATGAAATGCACTGCTTATATAAAAAAAAAATTAGAGAATGGTTCGACAGAAATTATGAATAGACTTCAACACCCTGGAGGAAAGGACAGACAAAATGCCCCACATAAGCTCACATCCTATCTCAAAAAAGAGACTCAAATAATCATAAAATCCCAATCCATTCAATTTATATTTTTATCAGAATACACATTTAAAGTAATCCCTTTATTGTTAAATATTAATCAGGATAAAAATGTGCCTTTAAATACATGTCTTATAAATAACAAGGCTGTTACCTATTTGTCTTTCCACCATCATAGCCAGTTGAATATGTTAAGAAGACCCTTTCCAAGTATAAGTAGGAGAGTTCCTTTGATCTATGGTCCACCATAGAAATTCCAACCACCCCTAACTCGATTAAGAGCTCAAAAGGAGTAACACTGCTCTGCATCTCAGCCTGAACACCAGAAACTCCCAACTTTCCATCAGGTAATGGGCCTGTAATCTCTTCGTATGAACTTGAAGTCAGCATCTTATCATCACTAAACTTTGCAATTATTATATCTCCCGCATCAATAACATGGAATTGCAATCCAAGTTCCGCAGAAGATAATCCAGTACTTTCCAAATCAAGTTTCCAAATTGCATCGCCATTATCAGCACTAAGTTTAGCATCTAAAAACTTATCACCATATGGATCTTCCCAACAAAAATTAGTTGTTGACAGAGGTTGCAACTGAATCCAAGCATCTTCACCAAATCCAGACTGCCGAATGCTAAGAGCCTTATTCGTTGTTCTGTTCTCAATTCTGTTTCAAGCAAAGTTAGTTTCTCTCCTAAACAAAAACACTCATGCAAGCTTTAAGTCAGAGATTTAAACAGACATATTGCAAGACACTGAATCTATCATGTGAAACCTACTATGAGCTTATTTGCTTCAGCTTTCTCTCATGAAATAACAAATCATTTTTAAGAATTTTAGTGTGTAATTTTTTGAAAAAAATAAGAATCTATAAGGAAAAAAAAAAAGATTTCTTCACACACACACACAAACCTCTAGCATGCGAAATGGACCAGTTCAAATAACCAATATAAAATATGATTTGAGCCGTAGAAATCCTAATCTAAATTTGGGCCACTACTAGCTCAATCTGACTTGTGCATCTCAGGCCAGGCTGGCTTGATACAGAGAAACTTCAAGAGATAGCCAACTGCAATGCTTGCAAGCCTATCTCTGTAGTCCAACTACTCAAATCCCATCCATAAAGTGAAAATTAGTTAAAGAACTAATAATATATGCTAGAATATCTTGAAAGCATTTTATAATATTATTTGTAATTTTTTTAAGATCTATATAGTATGTACAGAATCAATTAGACCTCTAACTAAGGAAACAATCCTAGGATTTCCTTTCCTAATTTCTCATTGGGTTTATTTATTTAATTAGGGTTAGATGTCTTGTTGTGTTAGCGGAGTTAGGCTTGTACCAATAGTTACTATATTAGTGCTTAACATAATTATTAGAATTAATATGTGTGACCGTGTTAGTGCACATACACCAAATCAATCTAATATTATTCAGAGCAGGATCCCTGGAAATATTCCTAGATCGTCTAAGAGTTTTACATGATCTACACCATAATAGAATAATGCAAATAAGACATTCATAAATTGGAAATTCTTAATAAATTAACAAGGTTATTTCTCATAATCTGTAGATTCTGCACATAAATACAATGTCTTGATGCTTAAAAAAAGGAATTATGGCCAATAAAAGTGTAATTGAGTTGAGTAAGAGATGCATAAAACGTAATTCCAGCTAACAGTTCAAATAAAAGACTACATGTGGTCCTGGAATCATATGTGAATTTGTAATAAGAATTAGATCTAGTGTGTGTTTGCAATTTGCATTAGGTCTTTTTCGTTCAGAAAAGCTTATAACCAAATGGAGCAAAAAGAAATTTAAACTAAAAAGCTGTTTTTGTGTAAAAATATTGGAAAACTAAGCATGTTCCTACTTATGTTTATTGTTCTTACTATACAAGAGATCTTACATCCAAGGTACTGGCAAACCCTATCAGAACAACTCTACCACTTGTGATAAAAACAAGATATACACATTTGTCTTGCTATTACATGGAAAAGAAATATGACTAGACTAGTCTGTATATGCATATCAGTACCTGATAGGACCATCTGTTGATCCAAGGCGGAATACCACAACAAAACGGGATCCTTCTTCATATCCACGAATTTCAGTTCTCAAAAATTTGACAGTACCATTATTCATCCTCAAAACAAGAGATATTGTATCCTCTCTTACAATTTGAAGAGGAAATGACCAATGGGTACCTTGTAGTCTCACCTAAAAGTAGAGAAAAGTGTATAAATCATTAAAACTCAATCAGATGAGGATCAAGGACAGAGAAAATTGAAAATAATCAAAATAATGAAAAAAATTATAACTCTTAAGTAGACAACAAATAATGCAGAAACTTACACCATTATGCTTCTTAATTAACTATTATACTTAGAAAAATCAGTCAATTTTGACATAATGTGGTCTAAAGACATATCAGCTCATCTTTACAAATAATTAACAACCATTATTTGTAACCATATAATAAATAATAGCCAATTACATACACTAATTTTTCTGGTAATTTAAAATAATTTAGTTTTACAATGGTGTAATCAAATTAATACCAATATCAACATAAGACACATAACAGAAACAGAACCTGATGATTTCAAATTTACCCTGAGTAAATCAGGGATAGACTAGTCCAGAAGGAGAAATGTAGGATAAATAAGTCAATTATTGCATAAATATATCAACTATGAACTGTAGCAAACCTGGAGCTCTTCAGGTTCACCGAGTCCACGACAGACAAAGTATACCCTTGAATCAGAAGCGTGCAAAATCTTTGGTTCATCTTCAGCACTCAATTTAATGAATATATCCTCACCAAGTCTATTAGTGAAAGTCATAAATGGCCGAAGAGAAATCACCTGTCAAGACAATCACAAACACGAGTATTACAACCTGACTGCCTGATAACGTTTATGATAATTTTTTTCTTCCGAAACAACCTTTGTTGGAACAGATTGATAGGGGCATGGTTTTGTAGAAATAAAAAGCTGCAAGCAATTTCCATCTCCATCATATGCATATATATCCAAAGAGCCATCCTAAGGATAAAAAGAAGTTAAATTTTAGAAAACACTGTGTAATTACTTCTTTAGTCTGTCATGTCAACACAGAAACCTTGACATTACCAAATCACCAAGAGGAGCAAGATCTTCAACAGGTCCAAAATGCTCGTTTCCTGTTTGGGCAATAGCCACTGAAAGGGCTAACATATTAAAGTTTAGAGCAGATGCAATTGTGTAACCATCATATATTTCCTCTTCGGTTATTTCTTCAAGGACTAATCCATTTTTCTTGTTAGTCTGAAATTGAGCAGCCATCTTTTGTGGCTTATGTCTTTTTCCTGACATATCAAGAATCCTAAATGTAAGTGGAGGACATCTAGCTATTTCTAACCAATAAGGAGCATAGACTCTAATTGTTTTAGCCAGCAAGGTGTGCTCTTTGTCATAGTTCTGCTCGACAATGATTTGGATCACCCTGCACATAAGGATACATATAAGACGAGGTGGATGCAAATTAAACTGACCCTCAAAATTAGATGCCGATAAAAATTTGGAAAATGATATCATCAGCACTTAGGGCTAATGTAATAAATGTTTTCTTTCCCTATGAAAACTTGGCATTTTTAGATGCATAAAATTAGTCCTACGGACCGATGCTAATAAAACCATAAAAATTTTGGCCAAATTTATATAATTTAGAAAAATAATGTAATAGAATAGGAAAATTCTAACTATGTCACATCCAGAACTTTTTACAACCTTCCCGATATTGAACTTCTCAAACTAATTGTTTTTGATGGATTCCCATGAGGATGAGATATAAGAACAGCTTCCTGTTCAGAAAAGAGGAGGTGAGATATTAATAGCATAATACAATGCAACATAAATGACCAAGTAAAAAAAAGCAGAAAAAGCGAAGGTATTGACAGGCCCATATCTTACATGTATGGGAAGCCAACCCCTTTGCGGAAGCAATGATAAGAACAATGGGTTCCTAATATCTGCACTGTATATCTGTACAGTTTTTCCTGATAAAAATACTCCTCTTGAACATGGAAGAAAGTGACCACTAGATTGCATTTCAAGGACAGAATATTCAGCAGCAAGAGGGAGAAAATTGCTAATTACTAGAGGAGATTTGACCACTAAACACCAATCCTGAATAGCATCTGAATGGATATCTTTAGCAATCTCAGTTGCTTGGATGCTTACGCAAAACCACAACTTGTGGGAGCCACCAGAGGTTCCATGCATCTCACTGCAACACAATAGTTCCTCTGACTCTGAAAGAGCCGAAACATAAATATTTGAGCATTGACCCCTGCCAACATCTTCTGGTTTCCTAGGTTTGTCCACTACAGTACTCCATGAGTACTCACTGGGGTCTGAAGTCCAAGGCCTTAACTGCAAGAAATATTGTACAGATTGTGTCAAGCCAGATAGAGGAAGTGGAGCAGTTTCCCCTGGTTGCAGTAGCCCAACAGAAATTTCATGTTTAAGATCCTCTGCTATTGGCTTCCTGCTTCTCAGCCATCTCCGCTGCCTGGCAGAATTAAGAGATTCCTTTGGATCAAAGGATTCAGGCCATCTCAAATTCTCCACATCAGGAGCATAAATCCATCCATCAGAAGTATTGGTAGATTTTGTATCCAAATGCCAATCATCAATCCATTCCCAACCTGGCGGTAGATCAATTCCAGGAGAAACCTGAATTATAGAAATTTAAAAAAAAAATTAAGACTATACATAAAAATGCTACAATAATCCAAACTGCCAACCACATAGCATTTATGAGCTACAGATTCTAAATTTATTTCTTATTTGATTCTCCTATATTTTATTTTTGAAAACATATTGTCAAGATGAGAGAAAAGGAGAAGGCATGTGATGAGTTCCATGTATTTCAACTACTCCACAGGTTGTGTATTTATATTAACAAACAATCATAGCTACGTAATCAAGAATAAATATATGGTTATCTAATTACTATAATTACACAAATACTATTTCCTTAGATAACATATTTACATATATTTAACACATGAGAAGTGAAAAACAAAGACAATGAAAATAGCATTCAAAAATGATCCAAATTGTTTGCTCTTTGTAGGTCAATCAGACAACCTTCCTAATGTAACCAAGGGGCTATCAGCCATAGATATGAGAAATTAATTCTAACACGTAAAGGGGCTATCAGCCATAGAGATGAGAAATTAATTCTAACACATAAAAGATGTACGGGGTATAATACTATCAAAAAAACCTTGTATTACACTCCATCCATATACCCACGATAAAAAAGCAACACTCCCTGATGGCCCAACACCCCTTCCTCCACAAAAGCTTTTGAAGATGACCAGAAGGTTTTCCAAAGACTGTAAAAGTGATGCTTAGCATTCTTAACAATATTTTGATATGAAAGTTGACAAGCTTGGGGTTTTCCAAGTTCGTAATCATAACAATATATTCTATAAGTTGATAGCAAGAAATCTGATTATAAAGATGCATATGGCTAGGAAGTTCTAGTGTAATCCTAATAAAAAATTCCCAGCATATCCTGGTTCTAAAAGCTAGTATAATGATTATATCATAAGTGCTTGATCTATTCTGAAATTTCCTATGCATCACATAAATCACTGATCCTTTTAGTGCACTTGTTATTTGAAAAGTCTTAAAGAGAGAGATCAGATAAAAAGCATTTTATGCAAACAACAGTTTGTGTCTTAGCCAGCAGAGAAAAAAATTAAATTCACGTGTATAAGCAACATGAAAAGCAGCTAGCAAACATGTCCCTGTGGCAAGCAAAAGCGATTAACATTCACCTGATGAGATTTTCCCATGTCTGACATGTGCTGTGCAGGATAACCTGAACAACTAACCCAACCCATTTGTGGAGTTAACTTTTCTGTCTCGTAAAATTCATCAGTCTGAATTTTGTAGTTCTCTGTACAGATAGATTCAGAATTACTTGAAGTTTTCTGCAAATTCACCTTTTCTGATGAAATTTTTGAAGTAAGGCATAAATCAAGTACAAAATCTGTGTTGTTACGAACAGAAACCAGTGATCGAATATTCACATATCTGTTGCCATCCTTCACGCTAGCTTCACTTGCAACAACATTATTGCCTAACCGCCAGCAAGCAGCAGGGGCAGCGTAGTTTAGCCTCACAGTTGTCCAAGGACCTTCCTTGCTGGGACTAATTTGAATAAATCCAGATTTTTGGGCACCAAAACTAGATTGTTGATCATTATTCTCAACTTCAGAATCATGCACTAGTATGGCACATTGTAATTTGCAAGACTTCTCATAACTGGCATCCTAAAATCCCAGTATGGCACTATTAAGATAAGTACTTTGAGAAAAGAAAATGAAAAAAAATGCCAAATCATACACAATTCACCATGGAGTTTTCTGCAGACAAATCTATCCATTTCAACTTATCGGAAAAATTTTGGGGATATGAGAAGTCCTCGATAGTTCTAGTTATCTCATTCAAGGAAGCTGAAAAAAATCCAACGGGTACACCTACAACAAAAAAGACAAAAGCCAAATAAAGATTGCACAGCTTATGAGTTTACAATACTAAGGTAGCATACTCAAGTAATTAGAAACATTATGTCCACAAAAGATTATTAGATTTCCAATCCACATCGACTGCAGACATCTGAATTGAAATTAATTTGTTTACAATTACACTATTCATAAGCATTTGACATCATTTAGGTCTGGATGGAATTTCAAGGAAGTACCTTTACCCATATCTGTTACAATTAATTCTAAAGAGTAGTGATCCTGTAAAACAAAGTATAGAAGCCAAGTTTGATGTTAGTTGCTTAATTGGAAAAACAAAGTGGAGATAAGAGGAGAAAATGATGCACTAATTTTGAAAATCAGAACTAAAATCTAAAGCAAAAGAAGCATTTAAGTTTACATGCTAAAACAAATAAATGAAAATTTGCCTAAAAGTGATAAACAAGAATGAGCAAGCAAATTAAAACTTGTAGACCAAACTTGTATAATACACTGAAAAACAATTCATAAGCTCAATAGGAAAGAGATGCTAAAAAAGAGAACCTCACTACACAGAAAAGGTAGTGGTAATTTTCCAGATAATAGCTGTTAATTCAGTTTTTATTATTCGTTTGTGTATATAGCTCTAAATCTTGTACTGCACACTTCAGCTAAAAGTTGTATAAAGTCTGTTTCCTATTAAAAATAACAGTGAATGTCTTATTTTGCAACAAAGTTCAGATATATTATTTAAAATTTAAACACTGAATATAGCCTTAGCCAACACAGTTGAAAAACTCCAATTTAGGTAGCATATTGACCAAATGAAAAAAAGTTAAATAAAATAAATACTATACATCCTGTATTCCTGAAAAAAAAAATACAGTAAAAATATTAATTGGGAAAAACTTGAGTTAATAACTAGAAATTGACATTTAGTTTGATAGTTTCTAACAAAAATCGGAAAACTTGGTAAAAAATGATGGTATGATTGATGAAACAAAGTACCATGCTCTAGAGTATTTAATGTACTTGGGAGATAGTATGTTCATGTATCTCAAGTTTATATGCATTCAGTATTCATGAATATTAGTGTGTAGGAGCAATCAATTAATATAAGCCAAAGAAATAGTTTCCACTAAGTGATAGATGTCTTGCATGACCTGTATATTTTTACTGAATAACAAAGCTTTCTGACAAGAACATTGGGTTCTCCAACTACAAAAGCTAGCTATTGTAGTTGGAGAACCCAAAGCCTTATACACATTGGAATCTCATACTTCCAGTGTGGAACTCAAGTCCTATACCTTGCAATTGGATCCTAACACTTTCCCATTCTCTAAATTGTTTCCTTAAAGATATGAGTCACTTCCTCTTTTAAGTCCTTAAAGGATAGAATATGAGTCACACTATCCTACTTAGTAGGGTTAGGATTAGATGCATGATTAACAAATTAACAACTTTATTGAATTTCAGCTTTAAGTCTAACTCAATCCTAAAAGCTAGCCTGTAAGGTGAGGATTGCTTTAACCTTTATAAACTCTTATTTAACTGAATTTATAGTCAATGTGGGACTTCAACACACCTCCTCATGTTTAAGACCGGATATCTAGAGTGCCTTATAGGACTTTTTTAAAATATAACACTGGTTACCAGGTAGGTGGCATTTGGAAAGCCACAGGACCAAGTTAATTGCATGGGAAAAATTCATAGAGCCAATTTTTTTTTCAGTCAATGGTGGCCCAATATGAAATCTTTGATAGGCTCTAATACCATGTTGAATTTGGACTTTAAACTTAACCCAAAAAGTTAGCTCATAAGGTGAGAATTGTTTTAACGTTTATAAGACTTTATTTAGTTATATCTATAGTCAATATGGGACTTCAACAAACTTATTTATATATCATAAACTACAAACTCATAAACCATTTATCCAATTGATTTAACCAAATACAGGACATGATGCAATTAACCACTTATCAAGTTAAATTAACTATACTTTATGTGGGGTGCCATTAAAACCCCTTAAAGGTAGCATAGAATCCTGCATGGAATATTTAATGAGATGAAGTACCCATTAACTGTTTGCACCAAAAAGGAGAATAAAAATGTTGTAATTCTCATGACAAATCATACTTCATTTTCGTGTAAAAGAAGTTTTGCAAATAAACAAAATGAAAGAAAAACAAGAAAATAACTTTGTTGAAGATCGGCACAGAATCAACAGATTTTCCTCATATTTTGCCTTGTACAGCTCATTAGGGATTCTGTGTAATAATTGTTAGCTGTAATTTTGCATTTGCCTTATAACTTCTATGGGGAGAACAATTTCCCTGATTTCTAGGCTAGATTAATGTCCCTAATTCTGTCATGATTATTCTGTATATATTTCCCAATGCATCATTCACAAATTCAAGAAAATAAAAAACAGTTTTCCGCAAACTTTATAAAAGAAAATAGCCATATATTTATCACAAAGGTTTGACATCCCTCCTCATATCTATTAAAGAAAGCCATGAGCTAGACAGCTTAAGAAGCTACAAAGATAACCCTATGCCCCAATAGTGACAACATATCTCATTATACTCCACAAACACAGAGACAACGTCAACCATATACTTCTAGGACCATAATATTTTAAATTAATCAAAGCAAACATATCAAAATTCTAAGCACAAAGTCAGGACTTAAAAATATCTAAATCTATTCCAAATGAATTTGGTCATTTGGAAATACAAACTTAAATTATCAGCAATTTCCAACACAATTTGACCAAGAACAAATAAAAACAGCTAAGATAATTATCAATACCAGGGAATCAACTTTGAAGAAAAAAACTTCATTCCACTTGACTAACTCAAGATCCGAAGGCAATAAATGATGTGCCCTTCTTCCACATGTGCGTGCACTCTGTTGATGAACCAATGCATCACTAGGGAGGCCCTGATTAGGAGAAAGGCGGACAGCCACCGTATATTGCTGGGAATCTGAACTTTCAACTCGGTGAAACTGCATTAGAAATATGATAGCATTGAAGGTTACCTGAACAGTGGGACTGCCAAATGCCAAACTCAAATTTAAATAGTATGTTACAAAAACAACCATGACATACCTGTGCTTCTGCTATGATGATTGTAACCATTGTTCTAATCTTCCTACAGAGTTTACCCTTCAAATGTGATTCTAGCATATTTTTTGACACAGGAACTTTCACAGCCTTCATATCCCCAGATGGCATCTTAATTATATTTTGGAGACCCCTAGCTTCGGTAGCGCGGATAAAAATATCCTGACCAAGTTTGTTTTGAGGGATTATATAATAATGTCTCTTGTGGAGAGTGTCAATGATAGAGTTTCCGCCAATAGTTGGAGAGAATGCATCCTATTAGATGTCACCCCCCCCCCCCAAAAAAAAGAAACAGGTATCCATGTTAATGTATAGGTAAAAGAAAACAAGTATTGTAAAATGGATAAAATAAATTGAGAAAGGCAGATTTCAAGCAGCAAAAATGAGAGAGGTTAAAAGTAAAGAAACTTTACTCTGTTTTTATAACATTCATGAGCATGACTAAGGTTGTTCCAACTGGCATAAGCTTGAATGATCATATTTGCATTAGAAACCGAAATATTTAAATTCAGATCTCGAGTTGATGTCAAACGTAATTGAGAGGCTGCAGCCGGGGCATTAAGGTCATGTTGATACCTACATTTAGCTATAGTTAGGCAAAGAAACTAGAACTAAAATATAACTAATATAGGAGAGCTCAACAATTTAATAAAAAAATTGTTTTTAAATTATTAAACTAATAAAGTTCATATATAATATGCATTGACATCAACTAAGAACGGGAAAAATTAAAAAAGAGATAAAGCCTCCAACCAAAATTATTGATTGAAAGCCCCATTCCCTTCTTCTCTCATTCTCATACATCAATTTTTTTATAGAAAAAGAAATTTTTATGAGAAAAAACTGCAACTAGGAAAAGATAAGTGATCTTCCAAAATAAGAGAAACATTAACCAAGTCTGTTTACGTACCCAAGAACTATGTTTAATTAGAAACCCTAGTCACCACCAAGTACCACAAAAAAATATACAGTATACTCTAGTTGCTGTCTAGTTGTATTTCTTGGCCACTGTTTGCCTCTACAAGCATCATTGTTGTGTTCTATTCAAACCACAAGAGATTAACTGAACAAATATCAAGTCATACAATAACAACCACCAAGTGTGGGTGGTTACATGGATCACATGTCGCCATTGAGCTTGGCAATAAACCAAAATTTTTAGAAATCCAGTTAATCAAAAAGTCATTTTTAGTAACTTCGTCTAAGGTTCTTTTGGATCTTCCTCAACCCCTTTTTACTGGACTAAAAGTCATGCAATCCATTCTCCTCACTGATGCCTCCAAAGGTCTTCTCTACCATAACCAAACCACCTTAGACAATCTTCACTCATCTTTTTCACTACAAGTATTATTCCAATATTCTCCCGTATACCATCATTTCTTATCATGTCCTTTCTTGATTGATTAAAAGATCACTGGTTATTGCAATGTCGAGGCATAATTGAGGCAAATTGTAATGTCTGCTAAATTCAAATCTATGGTTATTCTAGCTGTTTGAAGCTTTGATTAAGGTGATTTTGGAAATTTTGAGGAAGTTTTGGCCTTGCTGTGCATGATTGATGCCCTGAAATTTCTTTTGCATTTTCCCAGCAATGGCTCCCAGATACAGACTTAGATGATGCTACTTCTACCACAAGTCAGATCCCCAACCCTCATTTTGATACCCTTTCTGTCTTCTCCACTTCTGATAGCTCAACCTTGTCAACTGGATATGATGCTGAATCAGATAAGTTCATAGAAAGCAGGTTAACTACTGGTCTTACTACCCTTGCAGAACGTACTTTGATTTTGAATTATCAACACAATTAACCAGGACCCAGCCCCCATTGAAACTTGTTATCAGTTGTTAGAGTATGTTATAGTAAATAGTTACTGTTCAGCTGCTAGAGCGACATTTTACATGTGTGCAGTTACCTACTACTGCCAGTCAGTTACAGTTAGCTACACTATTCTGTTAGTCAGTTAGAGAACAATAGAATAACAGTATATACACTAATCTTCATGGAACACAGAACAACAGAATACCACACAAATTAAGCTTTAAGCTCAAGATTATTATTCTTTCTTCCCTTTGTCTCCTTTTCTCACATTTGTCAATTTCTCTCAGTCCTTGAAATCTAACAAAAGTTCGCAATATAAATCAGAATCATTTCCAACCCTGGGCTTTCCCATTTATTCCAGTTTTGTGATGCCTTTAATCCTAAGATACAACTTATAACTCCAAGAAAATATTTACAACTGTCCAACCTTACTGCTCCAATATTTCCAAATCTTGATAAGAACTGCCACAATGTGGATGGACTGCCCCCAAGACCACTTTTTAATTCAATTCTCATTTTCATAAATTAAAGTAAACCACTGCTCATAACAACCTAAACTCCCAGTCATGCACCTGAAGATTTTACCAAAGGCAACATGTAGCACAAGAATTCTATAATTTGTAAACACAAAGCAATTACCTTAAGAATCCATCTACTGGCTCAACAAGAGGCTCCCAGGCTTCATACTTGTCATTATATGACCTTGCAGCCAAGGAGAAACCAACAGTGCTATTCAGATACCCAGTTCTTCCATGCAAACTAAATGTTATTCCACTCAAAGATATATTGAACAACGGAACCATCTGTCAAATTCAAAGAAAAGCATTCAATACAGAAGTACAAAGGATTATAATAACTAAATTTCATAAAAGAGTAACAGCAATCAATAATTAAACATGTCAAGGATCACAAATCAATAACTAGGACATAGCAATGGTTTCATTCATTCCATGGACCACTATAAAGAGGAAAATCCCACAAAATCTTCAAATCAAAATTTCAGCTTGGCAAGAAGAGAACAGGTCAGGATAATGTAAACTAGTATAGAAAGAGGACCACATCTTGGAGTCCAATCTCCTTTATATTACATCTTTAAAGTATACCTACTAGTGTGAGGAAGACATCAAGAATGGTGTCTAAGTGTGAGTGGCAAGTGTTGGAATAGTGTCTCCCTTAGACACCATAGTTGAAGCATTTCTGTAGTTTCGAAGTTAACTTTGAAGTTCAAACCAAAACAAAGGGGATTGATACCGTGAATATAAAAAATCTTGTTCTTCATGAAGTATATTGCAAGCCCACTTCCCAAATAAACTGGAAAGGAAATGAAGAAGAGAACAGACAACAACAAAATTTCACATAATCTTATAAGCTCCTAGGTGATTAGGTACTTGCTATTATTCTGATAAAAGCTACAAGCCAAATGTTTTATTCTCACCAAACCACTGTAGTCATCAAAAAGAGCTGTTGAGAAAGTCCCAATTCCAGCATCAATGACTGTGACATCTGAACCACTTGGCACAGTAGAATCTGCTAGCTTCAAAGCAAACCTTCTTGGGGGTCTTTTGAAACCACCACGGACAATAAAAGTCCCCAACTCATTGCCAACAGCCCATATGCTAAATGGCTCTGTTACATGCTTGGCGTCAGCCGTATCCCAGACACTTTCTTCCAAAAATTTATCTCCTTCTACCAAATCACTGCGCATGCATCTTAATGTGCTAAATTCATTTTGCTTAGGTTTCCCTTTACATGCAACACACCCCAAGGAAACATAGCCAGGAGGAGCTTGTGGAAGCCAGAATGATATGCTTTCCATTCCCCTCTGTTTTTTTATTTGTCCAACAAGTAGAAAATCTAGGGGAGTTTTAAAAATATTTTCATCTCTGGAATCATGAACAACAATGCAGGTGTTTGGAGGCTCATACCTAAAAAGAAGAAGATTGCATCAGTTACTATTAATTGTAAAGAATAATATAACAAATCACAGGCTAAACTTTCTTGATGAAAGTAATGGGCACAAAAGTGTGAAACACACCCTTTAACAGCTATATCACCAAAATATATCATTCCCATTGGGACAACTGGACGCCAAATGGATAACCATTTTCTTGAGTCTGAACCCTGATTCCACCATATTAACTGAAAGCTAGCAACAGGCTCATAACGCCTATTAGAATTTGCATCAGCTGACAAGTCAGATTGCAAGGCTTGATGCCCACGAGAGGGAGCACGGGAATCCAGACTACTTAATGCTGCTGAAGGTGCCTTCAGAAAATCATATTTAATGCAACGCAATTCATATGCTTTACCCATCAAACAGAGTGACATAGGATCTACTGGCAAGAAAGTGCCAATAGAATTATCCACTCGCCAGAATGCTACACTGGATGACGATCTGCAATCAAGATGAACACTACTGAGTTTTCACAGGACAAAAATGCCATGACCTTGTGTCTAATCAATAGTTAAAACAATTTCCGTAAGTGTAACATCCAACTTAATGTAAAAAGACATGACAATTAAACTCTTTCATCTCAGAATTAATGCTCAAAGGGCTACTGAAACAGTCAAGCAATACAACACAGTAGTTATTACCAAATATATACATGGCAGAAGGCACTAACCTCGACACTGATTGAGATTGGTAGTTTAAAGTATAAAATTGTAAAATGGACTTGTGTGTTACAACAGAACTCACACCAGAAAATTTTCACTTACATATCAGTAGTGCCGATTGTGATACAATCCCTTAATGAACATGGAGATACAGAAGAAGATGGGATGCAACAAGCAGAAGATAGTGATGGTGGTGTCTTTCCATGAGTAGCAATACAGCCTAGTGCAACATAACCTTTGGGAGCTTCAGGGAACCAAATGGAACAAATGGAATCTGCCTCAGTTTTCCATAACGAGTCAGAATTGTCCATTTCTTCACCTTTAATTCCCACAGAAGTTAAAGGAGGCCAAATCAATCTGAAACCAATGGGTCTCTTAACTGTTATAGAATTGGTATTTACTGCAAGAACTCCTTTTGTAGGTGGCTTGTCTCTGTTGAGCAAACACATCATATTAACATTCAAATTGGTGGGGTATATATGCATCAGTTTAGATCAGAAATAAATTAAGAATTTTTACTGACAGTGGTGTCAAGTAGTCACCAAGTACAGCAAAACCAGGAGGAGCATGAGGACGCCAAAAGGCATATGTTTGATCAATATGAAAATCTGCATGTTCAATGAATGAGAATAGTCTTAAACACATGTATCAATAAATTTACCAAAATGGAAACAAAATAGAGAATATCAACATACTTTTTATGGTTCCAACTTTGTCAAAGTGAGAGCAAACAATGGTTGTTTCCTTAGATGTCATCCTTAAAAATGCTAGAATATCATCTTCCACAGCCAGAAATAGTCTCAAGATACTGAATGTGAAATTCATGAAAATATCAGACGCACATAAATGTATATTGGTCTTCCCAGAAGCATTCGAGTACTTCAAGGATGTGTCAAATGGCTCCAAAATCTTGATTCCATTACTCTCCATAGTCAAACCAAGTACATCTGCACTCATCTCAGTATTGTTACCCTTCAAAACAAGCCTAGCAATGGAAAAACATATCCAACGTCAGTTAATCACATATTATGAACATCCTGCATGTAAATTTCTGAAGAACAAAAGGATAATATCTGAAGAGTCAAGACATAAATTATGGAAATGTACATATACTCAACTTACTGCATATTCAAAAAATAAAACTTGTGCCTTGCTAACCAGCACACTAAGGGCACTAGTTAAAGAATCAATAGAAAATTTATCCTCTGCAGCACCAGTTCAGAAGATGGAAGGAAAGAAGTAGACATGTATACAAAACCAAAGTATGAAAAAAGGCACTCAGATGACAGTCAAAGATTTCTATACCTGAACTGAAATCCTCTAGCACAAAAATCAAACTTAAAAATGAAAATGAGATCATAATTAGAGATGCTTAAAGTAGCAAAAAATGCATTATATCTTTCATCTTATCAGAGAAGATTCCTCAACTAAAGAAAACAAAGGGACAAAGTTATGGTAAAAATTGAAATCAGGAGCACAATCATCCTGTAACATAAATCTGAAATGGCATTCACTTGCCAAAGCAAAAAGTATTTCATGCTCATGTGGTAACCATGAGATTTGCTATCTGACCACACATCAATTGTATTAACAGAACACAACACAATTTCAATTGGTCCAAAGTACCCTTTTGAATTTATGTTATCCATTTTACTGTGATTGATTGAAAAATAAATACACAATATCATTAGGTGATTGCACTTATTTCTGGTAGACACACCATATTCCAACAGCAACATATCAAATTACTCAACCATTTTTCACTTTTAAAAATAGTAACAATTCCATATGATGATAGTAAGCAAAAATAAAATAAAATCAAATTCAAGTTTCAAAGCTGAAAAGGCTTCTTTTAGATGAAGTCAACTCGTAAATGGTTGAATATCTCTAAGACAATATTTTTGAATTTCAAACATGGACAAGACACATTTCACTCTACATTATGCTGAACTTTAATTCACTATTAAGAATTAGGGTTGGACCCCTAACCAATTGCTTATATCATCCCTCAAATAGACTTGAGCGTCATGTCAAATGATCAGCTCTCCTAAATTATTAAAATGTGGTAGAGGCCCATAAGTGATTCTATAATTCTAACACTAGGAACAAATAAAGTAGCACTAATACTCGAAATACCATTTACATGGAAGCATAAATAGTTAAAGTGATGTGAACTTTTTGCATGTCATGATGTAAAATACCATTTACAGAAGAGGAACTCACCTACAAAATGCATCCAACTGTGCAAGTAGAAGTTTATTAGACAGGTTTAATAATTCTCCTACATTTTTTGACGTGCTATAAAAGGTAAGCGCTGGGCCAACAGCCTGCAAAGAGATATCTCAGTCACATAGTACATGTAAAAAGTAAAGACATTAATAACAAACATATAAACCATACCCATTACATGTCATAATACAGCCTTGATTTCATATTTATATGAAAAGGACTACGTATTGAATGCCACTATTATAAAAAATGTCAAACACAAAAAAAAAAAAAAAAACAACCAAGCCTTTTCACACTAAGAGGGTTGGCAACATGGATCAAAAACAGAAAATCATGGGAAAAAAAGGTTTACTGTTTTATAAATTAGAATCTTTCAAGTCTTACAAACAGCAGATTAGACACAGTTCAAATCTTAACCCCAAGCACAACCAGTGGCAGATTAAAATAATAGCAGCAGCTTGCAGACAGAACTGTCAGATTAAAAAACATATGAACAATGAATTGGGACAATTAAGTCAATAACTATTCACATAGGAAGGCTTTAAACCACAATACAATCACATTGCAACAGATTTTTTTTATAACCAAACTACACAACAACAGCTTATATTTTTAGGATTATAGATTGCATGGTATTGACACGGCATCAAGTCCCTTCAACCCAAAGGTTCAGAGTTCAACACCCTTCAAGAAAGAAAGAATCAACCTAATTTTAAATAACATTCATTGCACTAAACTGCAACTTTTCGCCTTTTATTTGGTTCCTTTCTTTTTCTCTGATATAATAAGCATTTATTCGAGCAAAATAAATAACACAAATAAGGAGGGGGATGAGATATCCTTCCCCAAAGTAAGTTACAGCAGTTTCTTCGTGGTGTTTTTAATAAAATTCGAGTAACAAGCCACAGCCCCTCAAGAAAATATCAAGTTTGGGTATTATAATTAACTTTCATTCTCTGCCACAGGCAATGATATTCACATAGCTAAGTGAATGGTGCTAACAATGAAACTTCCAGCCTCAGGAAATTACAAGCAAAGCTACGTGTACACAATTCTCCCATCATTTAGAATCAATCATACCATACACAAAAGCATAAGCGTTGAACTGTAGTAACACTTAACCTGAATCTCAATGATCAACTCCGTCAAGTTGTTAACTGCATTATTCTGACATGGTAATTCATCCACACTTCCTCTCAAAGACCTTGTCTGAGGGCTTTCAACTAATTCTTCCAAGTAGACATGATCATCCTCTGAAGCTGAATAACTACTATTTGCTCCAAGAAAAATACAAGAATCCAAATATTGTCCGCCCTGCAAAAATAAACCAGGAAATTAGTTTCTGGGTATCCACCAAAATTTTATAATCACATAATAGTTCGATAAAGTGAAGCACTAAGACCTTAATAACAACATTTCTGAATTCCAACTTCTTCCCATTTCCAATGTATATTATAACCTCTGAGCTAGCTGCTGTGAGATTAAAACCTTGTCTATCTTTTAAATATAAAGTTCCACCATCACCATCGTAAATGAAATGATCAAAACTTTCATCATCAACTATTAAAGGCTTTTGAGGAGAGAGGGAAAATTCAGCACACGGTTGCTTGTAGACTGATTGATCCATGATGATAGCTTCCAGCATGTGAGACCTATTTTCTTCAAATGATAGCATACTGCTGATGGTTGGAATAAAAAACTCAACTACAGCAAGAAGAAAATCTAGTGCAACAAGCAACTGAGGCCTCTGGACACACAAAGAAATAAATGTTGAATCCTGACCAAATTTAATATCAACAATGAGCATTGTCTGAACTAGTTCAAAATCATTTCCCTTAATTAAACTACTATCCACTGAATCCTGGTTTCGATAGTATGAAGTTTGAGGACTGGCTCCAACATTCTCAGGCTTTCCTATTGCTAATCGAAATTCTTGTTCAACACCTTCACGATAATCAAACACACTGAAACCTTGCAGAGTTGCAGAGAGGAATCCATTTCCTGCTGTACTGGACTTATACAGCAGCCATGCACTGCTGACCTGCACAAAGAGAGAACCAAAAGTTGAGCCATTCAAAGACTTCTTTTTTGTTTGATTATATCTATGATAACTGATCTGGGAGGAAAAACATTTTTATGGTGGAAACTCAAGGCCATTTCTCCTACTTTGGTTAATATATCTCAACAATGTTGATGATTTGGCATTCTTTATGAAGTGCCACCAACAGTATTGACCATTTATGTTTTCAAAAACAAAAATTCTACACAAAAGTATTCTTCCTTGGATTGCCCAATACTCTCCAAATAGCTGAAATATCTTAAGACTCCAAAGGTACCAAACTACCTCTCAATGCAAAAAGGACCTTATCTTTTAATCTTGACCATCCAAATAAGATCAAATAGTTTATATTAATTGTTCACATTCTCACAACAATTAAGTGTTCTCACTTTATATATATATATATATATATATATATCAGTCAAAAGACAATGTACCTGTACAGTAGCCAGAGTTGCATCTCTAGTTACCCCTGTATATAAGCTCAACTCAACCAGATTTATGGACACACAGATTTTCAGCGAAACAGAGGCTTGAACATTTGTATTCCCTGAATCAACACCATTTGTAACCTCAGGTACAATATCTCCAGTAGCATCATTTAATGTCATGGAGGAATATTGATTCAGTGGTGGAGGAATATATGGGACCTCAGAAAAGTTAGAAACAGCGCACTCAGTAATAATTTGATATTCTTTATTAGACAGTGCTGCTTTCAACTCTTCAATCTGTAGAACCACAATATCCAATACAGGACACATCATAACAATAGCAAGTTAATAGAAATACACAATTATACAAGTAGTGGGGAACTGGAAATTAAAGTAATAATATCAATAATTGAAAGTGAGGCTATCCAAATTCTGGGAAACATTCCATTAAAAAATACCTTTATTATGACTTCAATACTTGGAAATTGACATAACAAGTCTCGTAGCGACCTATGAATAACCACAGATAGCCCATTCACACCCTCAATTATGCTTTCACCCAAGTCTGATCCAGTTCCAACATTTAAGTTGATGTCTTCAACCTACACCCCAGCAATCAGAGTTATTAAAACAAAATGATTAAAAGCAGTACACAAATCAAACCACCCCCCCCCCCACCCCAAAAAAAAAAATATAACATCAAAGTGAACATATAAGGCTGGGAACACTTGGAAATCCTTTCTAACCAAGTTTCTATAACATCCAAATCAATAACATTATGAGTAACCAATCTCACCTGGACCATCAAAGTTTCCAAGTGCACTGCATTGATTTCACTTTTACTTCCACCAATCCACTGAAATGTGTTCTTCACGGTTATATGAACAATATCTAGCCTCAAAAAACTGCGTCAAAAAATATCAGTAATTGATGAGAAAGGAATGAAACCACACTTGAGCCATTACTTAACAGCTTACACCATTAGATTGACTGCCCCATTAACACCAATTATATGGCACATTATTCTCTATGAAATATAAAAATATTGAACCAATTATTTAGTGATATAGGTGAATGGGAACCCTAAAATCTTCAGCTTACTCAAGGCTATCTGTCCTCCGTGGCATTAAAATTATAGGCTTCTTGAGAGAAAGATCAAACTTCACAGCAGGTGATCCTTCAATTTCACTAGCAGAAAACCACTTCTCTGAATTTGTCACTTGATCTGTTACTTTTATGACCCTTCTTGGGCTATTTGGAACAAGACCCATAAAATAGCCAACAACCTACACACATTTGGACACAATAAATCTTCATAATTGATGCACATAAAATACTCAAAGCTTGAACCAATTGGTAAAATACCTCTTGCACAAACCGATTCAGATACACAATGCGCACTTCTGAAAGCTCACCAAAGAGACTAAAATCATAACCTTCATAGTCTTCATCATCACTGCTGAATGACATGAACTCCAACTACATGGTCATTCAGATGGCCATTCAGATATTCAACAAGAAACTCAGTATACCAAAACCAAACATTGCAAGTTTTAAAGTAGAGGCTTATCATCTTTAGCTCTAGTATGTCTAATTATAAGAGAAAAATGGAATGAATCACTTGTATGGATTTGCTAAGTCATTACCTTAATCTTGCCTAGAAACAAATCCAATAGAAATGTGGAGCAAATCATGCAAAATATTGATTTCAAATTTAACAATTTTTATAAATGAAAAAATGTTGTTGGAATAAAATAAATATTTTTATTGGGATAAAAAAAATATAGGGAAAAATTAGTCATATCCCAAGATTTAATAAAATTTCACCCAGTACCCCTCCTTTTTTATACCCCATAGAAACCTCCCTTAAGTTCTGTAATAACACAAACGCTCCATACCCGTCTCAATTACACAAACCACCCTGATGTATACAAAGTACAGCAAACAAAGTACGGTAAACAAGGACACAAACTCAACATATGGGTCACATTTTAAAATGTAACAATGGAAGGAAGGAGAAAGATGTACCTCGACAAAAGATCTGCCCCCAGGATTTCTCATGTCACAAGCCCAATAATATAAATGACTGCTAGGTAGGCTGTCATCACTTATTTTCAGATTTCCCAAGGATGCTTTAATGCTAAAGGAGGAAGGGAACACCTTGATGTCTGTAAGCAAACTCTCTTGAGACAAACAAGCAAGCTTGGTTTCATTTTCTTTCATCAAAAGGATTTGGGCCTGTGCCATTTTTAATGTCAAATTAAACATAACTCTGGATTTTCCTTTTCCAAGCAAGCCCTTAACAGCATGTTCCTCAATGGCAGTAGCATGTAGATCATCTACATCTCTTAATCCATCTTTTTTAATTATGGCTGTTGAAGGGTTATCACTAGGAGTTGCAAGATTCCCATCCTCAATGTTAATAGAATTAATAAACTCCATAATCGCTAGGATAGTTGGTCTACGACAAAAAAATGTCAAAGTAGCCAGAGTCACTATCACCTGAAATGCCATAAATAAAATATTTGGTGAAAAAATTACATAGAACAAATGGCAATTAGTTAAAAAAATATCGGCACCTACCTGCTTGTCTATATTCTTATACTGAGTAGAGTTCTGGTCATAGATAACTATTTGAGCTTTAACAAAACTCTCCAATGTGTCATTGAGTTCAAGTTCCTCACTACTAGGAGTCTCACTAGGTAGAAGTCCAGTAATGCGACTAAACTTCGGGGGTTCGAGTGATGAATAATTAAATTGGATCTCAATGGGGGAACTAGATGGAAATTCAGAACCTTCAGGAATTTGCATAGGATAATCAGCACTGTCAGTGTCTGCTAAAGTCTCAGGTGCCTCATAAAAGTTATCATCAGTTTCAACAGGGATAAACCCACTACTTTCAACATCCTCTCTCAAGGTATCATAGAATAAAGAATTCTCATCAGCAGTCCCAATAAATGATCTTGCCAAAAAACAAGGCTGAGACAATCGTTGACTACAGCAAATTAAATCTTCTATTTCCAAAGATTTCAAGATAGTGCCAATGAAAATGTTATTGTTTCTGATAGAAACCTCCACCTGTTTAAATATAAATGCCTCAAAAAGGGAAGATCAAAGAATCCAATTAAGAAACAACAAACCAGCAATTTTACCTGACCACCTATTGCTCGAAATTCAAACAAACGCTTTTCTTCATTTAAAAGGACCTTCATTAAGCTATGATCAAACTACAGGAAGATACACATTTTAAGTACAATTGGAAATTCAAATTTGAAACTAAAACAAGAAAAAGGTAACAGGCTAACCTGATAACAATAACTGAAGCAAACCTTTAACTCATCAAGAACACCTGTTACAAACAACTTTTCAGAAATTCCTACATCAATCACCCCCTGATTATCATGTTCTGTTTCAGTATCATCATTATCTGATGAGGTTTCAGATAGACCAGAAATAGGAGCCGTATTCTGCACAAATAAAATGTAATATGAACATTTAATATTCAAACACTAACACCATGCAGTACTAGATACACTGAATCAAAGAATGGTTGTAAACTTGTATATTTTGGAGAAATAATTCCTTTTCTTTTTGCAGTGTCCTGAGAGTTACCAAAAAACCACTAAAAAAATTATGAAAGCTATTTCCCCAAAAAAAAAAAAAAAAACTGAACATCTAATTTTTTAAATAGATAAAGGATTGATTTTCAGGCATTCACACAATGTTTTTCCCCATATAAGTAGTAAGCTCATGCAACTTCTCAATGCTATAAGCAAGGATCGTTGCTGTTTAGAAAGTAGTAAATGCCTAATGTAGGCGCATCAAGTTAAGTTGCAATAAGTGAGAAAAAGGTATTTACAATAATGGGCAGCTAAAACTAGACAAATTTAAATGAGAACAGCAAAACTAGAATAATTGACAAGGGAAAAGGATGCTGCAAGACCATACACAGACATGTTTTTCCATTCACATGCAGAGAACTATATCAGGATTACAAAAAGTATACAAATATTTTCATCAGAGAGAGAGAAAGGAAGGAAATGAAGAAAACAAACCGATGCATGATAAATAGCCCCTTGTAAGCGGCTATGCCAGGTTTTCTTTGAATCCTCAGATTCACAACGTATAATTAGTGCGTTTGTGTCCTCCACAACCTACAACCGTTTAGTGATTGCTATTAATAGAGATTCAAACCTTCATAGAGATAACAGAAAGACCTCATCCCTGATTTTTATTACAGAAAAAGAATCATAACCTTATTGTTGGATCGTGTAGGACTGCTAACAACCAAAACATGCTGTACATTACCAACAAACTCTGGTGGAACCTGATATACCTGCTTCCCTCGTAGGCTATGACAAACATATTACTTAGGCTGTTAATAACATATATGAACCAAGAGAAGCAGCAGATTACAACCAACAAAACACTTTAATCAGATAGCTCAGAATAGAATCAGAAATACTTAAGAATAAACAACATAAGTAATTTGAGAATTGCTAGAAAGATTTGATCGGCATGCCGATATTTACATTGATACATGAAATAATAAAAACAATTTGTAGTTACAAGAACAATAAATATGAATTGAGATACCTAAGATCCTAATGTTTCCAGTGCTGAATTCAATCATAATATTTTTAATGCCCTTATGCCTCCAATGCTATATTAACTCCTAGTGTCTCTGTTAGGATAGAAGGATATTTTCTTGGAAGAATAAGCAGATGACAGAGTAGTTAGTTTAAAAAGTTCGAATAGTTAGTTTGTTAGTTAGATGAGATTAGTTATATAAATAAGTAGGGATAGGGGAACCATATTAAGGAATAGAATGTTGAGAGAACCAAACAAATTCTCAATTGGGAAAGCGGAAAACCTTGGAAGAGAAATTTTTCTCCTTGTTCTGTTCAGTTTTAGTCTGTCAAGCAATAAAATCATTAATTTCTTTTCTATTTCCATCATGGGTTCCAAGCATTTTTGGTCCAACCAACAATTATGAAGGTGTTCAGTGGCATTCTTGGTGACCAGTGATCATGGAATCCAGCCTCATTCCTGGGATTCCAGCATGTCAGAGCTTAGGCAGATGCTGCATCTGTTGAAGAAGAAGCTGGCACTCATTTGTGAGGAAGAAAAGGTAGAGGTGTGACCCTGTAAGATCAAGAAAAGTGTTGGAAGGGATGAAAGAGTTCAAGAATATACTGGGTCAGTGGATGAAAGAAACAGGGACACCATTGACTGGAGTTCAGCAACAAAGGACCTGTTCTTGAAAAATGATGGTAGAATTTCCCAATCTTGGGGTAGTGATCCTTTAGAATGGATCACTAGGCCAAACAAATTCTGAGGTGCACTACAAGAAGCTACCAACAAAGGTGCACAAAGAACCAAACACAAAATCAAAACCAGATTTGAAAATGAAATTGGAGCATGATGTCATTGACGTGACAGAGATGCTCGAGGCTCGAGGCCAAGAATATGGTTGAGAAGATTAAGGTAAAAGATGAAGGATCAAATGCAGTAGTGATTCATAACGTCAAGAATTCAGTTCCAGCAGAGATGACAACAGAAGAGAAACAGAAATTAGTGTCGAGTCACCAAATCCAGATTCATCCATTAAAGTAGGTGGAGTCACAAAGTCATTTCCAAAACCACCAGATCTAAATGGAAACATGAAGGTGGGTGAAATACTAATGGCATGGGACAAGTGTAGTAAAAGTGCAAAGCATACACCAGTCCCCCATACCGAGATAAGCTAATAGGACATCTATTTTAACACAGTCTACCAAAGATAGGAAACCTAGGGTTTAAGGGTTCAAAATCTCGTCTGAAATAACAACTACAGAACTCCATTAAATTTCAGAGATCAATTCATATTACCAAACGTCATCTTAATTACAAATTATGTTACTACTAAAATTAGGAAACACAACAAAATCATAAAAAAAGTTGACCAACAAATAAAATCCTACAAGGAGTCCAATGCAACAATAAGTATAACTATACTAAAACCAACTGAAGTAACTGACTGGAATCCATAAATGTAATTTGCGCAAAATAATGTAATATATATGTAATAGTATGAGAACAAGGCACGAAAAGAAGGCATTTGCACCTGGTATACTGCTTATAAGATCTCGAGTCAGGGCTTTCAAGTACATAAAGAAAAGGCCCAACCAAACAGAAGTATCTCCGCTGCCAGAGAGCTTCCCTTATTCCCACACCCTATTACAGTTTTATTGAAGGCGCATAATATATCAGATGATGGCACTGTATGAATGACAAAATTGGTCAAAAGCTAGCCTAGAGGAGCTGAAAGAGACCACTACCTTCCATGTTAGAAGAGACAACCACCCCTCAAGGTCAGCCTGATCCCAAGGACGAAGAAACTCAGAGCTGTCATCATCCTCCTCCTCAAAGATCTTTATTACATGCATCAACCGATGATACCGAGCAGGTGAAAAATGAAAGGCCAATGATGGCAGCCTAACAGCAAGGCGGGTTGAAGGATAATATGGAGTCTCTATGCGAATCTGGTCATAATGAGAAATAAAAAATTGGAATATTTACTGTAAATAAAAAAGAGAAATTCTAAAATGTCTAGAATTTTACCTGTTGGAGCTGTAAGATGACTCCACACTTGTCAATAATTGGGAAAAAAACATTTTGGGTAGAATGGGCTGACTTATCCAGAGAAATTTGGCTCCAGTGATAGTCACCATCAAACAAAAATGCCGATACATCACTTAAGACCAAATCAAATCGTAGGTACATATTATCCTCAGCTGATTCCTGTTGATGGGTGTCCTGAATACAATTTTTAAAGTTTTTAACAGGTTAAACAAACTCAAACTAAAGAAATTTGGCAAATTATCAGGAGTATCCACCTGTGTACGAATCATCAAGTTCCCTAGGTCTAGTAAAAGCTTTGTAGCATGGGTATTGTCAGGGCAAAAATCAGTAGGAATTGTAACTTTGGGAGCTGCAATATCCAAATCCAATGAAAACCTAACAGATAAGTAACAACTAGAATTAGAAAGGAACTTCTCGAGAAGAAACCTTCTAGTTTGAGGAATAATTACAGAAACAAACTAAGAAAATAAATCCAGAAAACTATAGGATATCAACCAGCTATCTAGTAAAACCAAGAACCAATATCAAATCATACTCACATTACTAGCAGTCGGAGCTTTACCCATCTCTCACACTCATTACTCAATGTCAATAAAGAAATTTTAAATTCTAATTGTCAATAGAGAAAATAACCTGGAATGATGCTTTAATGCTCTGTTCATTTGCTGCTGGGCAGTGCGCTTCACTTCATCAATTGTCATCTAGGAACAATGATACAAGCTGATCAGAAAATCCTTTTACAAAAGATTAAACAACAGACCTCTCCAACAAGTCTATAATAAATTAAGCATAAGAAAATATATTAACAAAAGAAGGATGCAAAGCAGAACAACAAAAATAAACCAAAAGATAAAATAAGACAACATAATAAAAGCTTACATGGAGACATGAAATATAAGGAAGCTAGTAAGCTAGAATCTATTTTGGTTTTACTGACCCTGTATTCATCTTAGCATACTATAATTCCAGATAGGAGAGTTTGGACTTCAATTTACCTTTCTATTTTCTTCCTTGTAAGTCCTTCTAATTCCTACCTCACTCCCCCAATCACTAGATATTCCTTTTTGATAACCAATTAGTAAATCCAGAGGTCACTCTAAAGGCAGGCATTTGTCCGGACACCAGTACTTACTAAGATATATAAAAAAATGGTCCAGAGCAAATTTGTAAGAATTACCTTGCTCTATCTCCTATTTCATAATGTGCTCAGAGTTAAGAACCCATAAAGCACTTATTTTTTTGCAAGAAGGCTACCTTACAAAAAATTTGTCCAGGGTTTCTGGTGACTGGTGAGGTTTAGGTATGTCCTACTTTCAGATAGTTTCTTGAGGTTGGGATTCAAGGCTATGGTAAAAAAGAGGCAAAAGTTCGGTGGCATTCGTCATCAAGTTTTGGCTTTTACAATTCCTTGGTTCATCTGATTGGATAAGATGCTGGCATTTTTAACAAAGTCTCACCTCTTAACCTTCTTGATTAATAACTAAGTACCCGTATCTTGGTTAATATCCAATTCCATCTTTGACGACTAACATATCCCCAAAAGGCAGAGATGTCAAATAATACCTGCACAGCAGCTGCAGTTTCTAGTGCTATGGTCTGACTTACAGCAGCATTACTTTCAAAGAATTTGACAATTTGATCAATGCTGTCCTTCATGTACTGTCCAAATTCCAAAGACAAATATACAAGTAAACCAAACAAATAAAACCTCAAATAAAGGGAAAAAGAGACAAAATGAAAAACTGCATACAGTCATGTAACATGGAGAAGCTTTGGCAACCAGGCTCCAGTCCACTTTGTCATCAAAAGGTTTATAATAGAAGACACCAATTAATGAATCATAGGAAGCCGCACTCTGAAAGGACATGAAAAAAATTCAAATACTCAGGATATCATATATTGTATTATACAAGCATAAAAATAAAATTGCAGAAAATTAACATAAATTATATGGGGAGTAAATTCCAACCTCTGCGAGGAGACCTTTTGGTGATGATAACTTATAAGAGCCCAACTTAATGTCAAAGACCTTTGTTTCTGGATAAAGCTTTATTGAGCAACTGAGGTCTTCACATGATAATTCAGCAACAGGCTCTTTGGTTTCCCCAATAAGCTTTGAAGCATTATGATTCATGTGAACTACCAGGAAAGTATGAATAACATCCGCCTTACTATTTACAGCTACTTGCCCATCATCACCTTCCTTATATCCTATTATTTTATTTAATCTGTTCCAGTCCTCTTCACTGAAATTAAATTCCTCACTTTCCTCTTTAGGAGATTGACTGGTCCTGGCAGTGTACATAATCATAGGTGAGTAACACAGCTAAAACTAAAATAAAATCCATTGTTCAACTACTGAGACTTAAAAATATTTTAAGACAAGACACTTCACCATCCAAATGACCACCAAGATTTCTGCACTTTTTGTTTCCTCATGTTATGATTTGACTCTGCTGATTGTTCCACAAACTTGTGAGCCAACATTCTGTAAACACCGTGAAAAATATAACTTCAAGGTTGAAAAATAAACAGGATCCAAAGTCTAATATATGTGTTATATATACATGCATGAATCTTTCAGTTGAATCTAAATATGTGAATTGCAGGGTTGTACAGTAGCATGTGAAAGAAGTAAAAGAGCATTATAGACCTTTCCTTTTAATACCGGTTTCAAATCATACACACCAATAAATTGTATGACCAATCATCACACGGGAGCCTCAGACCAAAACTCAACAATGTACAAAGTCAAAAGGTGAAAGCTCACTTGCTCGAATACAGTCATATTAACAGATTGAGATTACAAGTCAGATTTTTCATTAAAGTTGATTTTACTAATTTTTAACATATGATTCACTAAAAACTCGAATTGATCTAAAATGTTCTTCCTTCAAAAGTTGAGCTTATCCTTTCCATACAGTTATTACCAAAAAAAATGTATGCAGAATGTACACTAACTATGGCCATGATGCTATAGTTGAATCAAAATTACAGACTACCTTACATATCCATGCTTTTACATATGAATAATCAATATTAAATATTAACATACCACATAAACACCCAGAAAAAAACAATGTACCTCCATTGCAGTATAAGTTCAATATCAAGTTCACGATCTAGGTCATCAATCTCTTTATTGCCACTAATTGTCACCTGAGTGGGGTCAGATTTAAGTAGTGAAGCATACAGAGAGATATATCTCTTCCGCAAGCTCGCATATTTTAGAACTTGCTCCCATGACATTTTTCCACTGACACAAGCACAATATCATGAGTTGATGAGAAGTACAAAATTAAAACATGATAAATAAAGATCAACAAACACCATCAGATCCCACAAAGCTCTAATGTTAATATCTGAAAATGTTACTACAACATTCTGAAAGTTGAAACAGCAAGATGTTTGGTTTGGTGAAAACATAACAAACCAAGCACCATCTAAGCTTGTACTTAGCAAGGCTAAATGAAGATTCAGGTTTGAGAAATAGATGGAAGAATGCTGAGTGAATAACTTTCAACAGCATCTTCTGAGCATTCCTTGAGAAATTGCCCTTCAAAAATTCGAAAAAGCAATATAAAGATGCTAAAAAAGGCAATCCAAGAAGTTTGATGCATGAGCTTATCCACTAGAATTCCATCATCATTAGATCCACCCAAAACACCTGCCCCTTTTTCATTCCAAAACCTTTTTCATGCCACTAAGTATAACTGGATTAGATTTTATGGTGATTGTTGAGTCTAAGGTGTGCCCTCAATACTTGGAGCATCTTCTTTTTATTAAGTTTACAGATTTTGGCCAACACACCAAGTAATTAAGTGTCATTTACTCATATATTCTCTGTGTGGAGTCGTTTCAAAAGGGGGTTGACCAGTTGAGGCTATTAGGAAGTATGAAAGATAGTCAAACAAGAAAGAACAGATTGCATGTTGCTCTGGTTTGTGCATGAAACAGAAAAAAAAAATGTTTTTACACTATATGGAAAAGACAGAAAACAGTCCATGTTAATGCACTCCGTACACATCAGAAAAAAAATATATAAAAAGACAGATAAAATCTATGTAAAAAGCTATTGTTAACTGAAATTGCCTAAAGAAGTAAGAAGAGAATTGGGAGTAATAAAAAAGAAAAAAACTTTTATTTTGCATAAGAGAAATAGAGCATCATGTTTTGACTGCAATGCAACATAAAGGGCAACATTGCATGAGGCACCCATCAAGAGGTATCTTGGTAAGGGAGATATACACAGCCTTATCCCCTAAAGTGGAGAGGCTCTTTCTAGGATTTGACCCCTAATCTCCATGTCACAAGATAGCAACCTAACTATTGCGGAGAGGTTTGCCCTCAATGTCATAAAAGTGCCAAAACATTCACAGAAAAGAAGAATAATAAATATAGATAATGTAAAAAGGTATGATATGGATCAGTGAATGATGTTTTGCCTCTTTACATCCTGTGTTTTACACAACTCATTTTGTTTCAGTCAGAGAATCAGTGATTGACTCCTGGGTTGCCACTGTTTTTCACATTAATACCTAGGCATGAACTGAACTTTGTTAATTAATTAATTCCATGCTCTATAAGGCATTTGCTCAGAGTGCCTCCATTGTGATGTAAAAGCACCATTGAGATGTAAAAGGAGTGCACCTCACAAAAGAGGCAGCACTATAATGTGCAAAAGGCACTGATACTATCCATCATCCTACCTCAGCACACCTTTTAACCCTAACTACATTCACCCAAATATAAATCCTCCTCCTAGTTACCCTATGTGGAGATGTGCAGATGAAGCACGGGTTCTCCATTATGGAAAATTTGAGGAACAGGTACATAGATATCGATACTAAATTGTCAAAATGTTTCAAATATAATTCAGTCAAATACTAGACACTAGTCTCACTAGTCTTATTTAATTGTAAATTGAGCTGTTAAATTGTGGAATATTTATGCAAGTTACACTCCATGTCACAAGTAATTAGCTTTTAGATTGGCTACTGACAAGTAATGTATAAGGCTGTGAACAGAATTGGAATGTGTTCAAATACCTTGCCTTCTTCATCTGGTCAGATACAGCTCTGTAAGCATACTTCCACCAAGACCTGGAATTGGCTTTTACTGGCACCAGTGGACGATAATGAGCATATTTTAGACGTTGGTTAAAGGCAGCAAAGTTGTCTGCTAATTTTATGAAATCCCTGTATCCATCCTACAAAGACAAAAATGCAAAGATTATCCCTAAAAACATTAACAATCTCCAAAAACAAGAAAAACAAAAAGAAAAAAAATCAAATGAACCTTAGATAAGCTAATTGTAACATCATCCAAATTCACCACAGCCTTCTGTAAAGGTTGTTTGCTATCAGCAACTTCATTTTGCTGCAGCTTGGAGTACTTTGCTTCTCCAGTCACAGGTTGCAAAATGTACGAGTGCTTTCTTAACAAATTATCGGCTGGCTTCCCATCTTTAGTGCCAAATTTAAATATCTGAATTTTTATAACATTACTAAGAGAAACTAAAATGAAATTGTAGATATAGTAATAAAAGCATGAAGAAGACAAAATAAAATCACATGCCATCTCCAAAGGTGCTAAGTCAATATTTTGTCAGAGGTAAAATGTCCCTAACTATCATAACATACTTTGAACATATGCAGTTCCATTCAATCCAAATTCCAAACAAACTGCATTGCATCATAAATGCCCCCATAGTTATCAAATTCGCTCAACCCCCCTTCAAACCATGAATAAGGATATGCAAACCAGTTTACAGTTCATTCTCGAACCAGTACACTGCTGATCAAGTATTGGGACGCAGCCACTGACATTCCATAACACAACCAGTGTTGCATAAAGGTTCTTGATTGCAGCAGAGTCAAAGGCAGCAGGGGAGGGAAAGTCGTACACAGTATTCCAGGTTTCCTTGCTTTGAGGTAGATTCCAATGGGGCCATCAAGCTGCATAGGTTTTGGTATCTGTCTTGTCTTCAATTATCATGCTCAGCTGCTGAGTTTAGGGTTTAGGGTTTAGGGTTTAGGGTTTAGGGTTTAGAGTTTAGAGTTTAGGGTTTAGGGTTTAGAGTTCATCCATGCTTTTTCTTCCTTGGGAGAGCCAAAGGATGCTTCCAATGGATTGTAACAAATCTAGGGATTGATTTCAGTTGTGAAAGTCCTAAGATTTTCTAGAGCTTTCTGTACCATTTGGATTATCCCTTTTAGTATTTGGTTTTGTCCCAATTGAACTTTCTCTTTTAGGAAACTAGTGATCTTATTTTTTGCATCTTCATTTTAGCCCCTAGCTTTTCGGCCCTTCATTGTTTTGAACAGCTGACCCAAAAAAACAGGATTTTTGAAAAAAATTATATTAGGAGCATGCCGATTGAAATTTTAATGCGTACCGCAAACCCAAATAGAGAACCAATTTGGTATATCCCAGCATAGTATATATTTTCAATAGCAATAAACCACATACCAACAGAAATTGCGCAGTAGGTAACAATAAATGCCCTACAAGCTGTCCCTCCACCCCTCTTTCCTTCCAGTGCCCATGTCTAGCAGCCCAGAATTTCTCAAGCATAGCAGGACTATATAACACAATGGCTAAGCAAGAAAGCAATATAACTTTTATGACTCAATGCACTCAATCACGTGCAAGCCCACCAAATCTAGGATGTCAAAGTTGTGAACAAATTGCATAATATGAAGCTCTTTTATAAATAAAGAAAAATTAAACTACTTTAAGTGAAATTTCATATTGCAAAATTGTAGATAAAAAGGATGAAACTTTTACCACTCAGTCTGGTGGCTTTTGAATATATGAAAAAATACATTGCAAAAGTTTATGCAAAAGGAATGCTAAGAACACACTCTTTTTAATACACTCCTAATTATTGGCTAAAATTTACTGAAAACTACAAAAGTATGAGAGAATCATCAAATTATTGGCTAAAATTTATTGAAAACTACATAATTTTTATAATTATAAATAAATTTTAACTAATAGCTAAGTGTTTTGAAGGGTGTGTTACTAGCATTTCTCATTTTAGTAAAGGCCAACAAAAGACTTTGCTTTCTTTTTTTAATTCTACCAATGTGGGACATCTTAACACATACTCCTCACGCTTAGGACTGAACATTTAGTATGTGAAATTTGCAGGACATCTTAACACACCTTCCTCATGCTCAGAACTGGACATCTGCAAGAGTGGCCGAACAGGATTGGACATCTGTGGGCAGGCCAAAATTCAAACTGGATAGGCTTTGATACTATGTTTAGAAACTAAAGCATAACTAACTGCCAAAAACTAGCTCATAGAAGGAGGACTATCCTAACTCTTATAAGGAGTATTTTAGCTCTATTCTTAACCAACATAGGACATATTAACAATGTCAAAAGAATCACAAACCAAAGCTATACCATCTAAAAGAACATTGGATAAAAATAAACTTAATAAAAGTACAACATAGAACCAAGAATATGAATGAGTCAACGAGGTAGCAAAACAATTTGCAAGTTGAATATTTCAATTTATCTAAAGGCCATGCTCTACTGATTATTATCTTGAAGAGCAGGGTGCACATAGTTCATTAATGGGTATGGTTAACATTTAAACAATTAATCTTGTAGACAGTATTTGAGTCTTTAAGGCGATCCACTAGACCATCAAGACCAACTTTGAAAATATATATTCACCTGCAACCCACAACAAATTTACCTGAAAGAAGAAGAACGAGGTCCCAAGTACGTTTGAGACAACTCATAGATAAAAGATTAAATGGAAATACAGAACTATATAAGACATTGTCAATGAATAATGATGGAAGGAGAGAGACAGTGCCAACACCCTGATACTGTGTTTGAGACATGTTGGCCATAGTACCAAAAGGTAAGTGACCAAATGTATAGAGGAAAGGAAAGATGGAATATGATTATTGGCACCTAAATAAAAAACTCATGGACAAAGAGATGAGGAATGAGAAATGTCAACAAAAGAATTATTTGTGTGCACAACAGAAGCAGTGGAACTAGAGGTTTGACGATCCTCATACCAACAAAGGAAATCGTTGAAGAGTGTTGGTGGAGTATTGGAAGTCGAAGCAAATTTAGTAAGAGCAGACTGCAAAGTAAATTCAAGAGGCGTAGACTACACCGCATTAGCTATTCTAGGGGGTCGACCATGCAGTGTATAACAACAATCAATAGTATAGCCAATTTTGTGGAAATGGTTACACTTAAAACGTGAGCGAAAATCACCATTAGACTAACAAGAGTGACCATGCTCACCTCCCTGTAAGATCAAGGTGAAAGAGCAGTAGCCACAGTGAGAGCAGAAGTGGATCCTAAAATCTGATCTCGAACCTAGAGTACTTTGTAAGTAAACCATACAAAGTTAGTAGAATAAAAAAAATGTTTGACGATTCTCCAATTCCAAGCAACAGTTGCAGCGAGAGGCAAAAGTCATTGAAATCACGAAGAAGACCATTCATACAGACTAAATAGATCGACAAAATGCCATCAAGTTTCTGAGCCGCAACAACATCCATGAGATTTTGACATATTTTATAGACTTTGTATGTCATTGGTGTAAAGTAATTTTGCTTGTGACGAAATGAATTCACACGTATCATGGAAGCAAAAAATCTACTTCACAACAGGATGAATAGTAGACTTGATAACACTGCAAAGTTGAGCATCAATCTTACTCAATTTAGCACGTTCAGTTGCAGCCACGATTGCTTCTTTGATAGTGAGATGGCTGAGATAATCTCGACACTTGAGCCAAAATTTGATGTGAGAGGTCCAAGAATCATAGTTACTACCATCCAACTTATCAGTAAATAGTAGAGCAGTAAAAAAGTTGGAGAAATAGATGCTTTAGGTTTGGGAGGAGTTGGAATCGCCATTGGTCATCCCAAAAGAGAGAAAAACAACAGCCAAACAGTAGCAAAATGGGACAAACAGCAGCGTTCAAAACTTAAAGGGAGAAAAAGACCATAGATCTAGAACCGTCTCGGCAAGGCAAGCCTAGTCTGCAAAGAAAGAGGCCAAAAGGTCGCTAGACGGACCGTCACACATGGCGGAGGTGGCGCATAGGACCTCCATACGTGACATGATGACCAGGTTTTGTGTGCACAGTGTGGCGATTCTGGTGGTGGTGAGAAGCTGGTCAAAAACCACGTTGGAAAAGTCACCGGCAGTGAAAAATGGCGACAAGTGGAGTAGGCTTTCGGAAAAGGGAAAAAAAAATAAACAAAAACCAAAGACAATTTTTGAAAAAAAAAATTTGACACCTATGAGCCGCAGACCCACAGGAAAAGCACAGATTAAGGTTAAGCAGGGATTAGAGTTACCTCCTCATTAGGTGCTTGATACCATGTTAAGATGAGAAAAAAAGAAAAGGCATGTGATGAATTCTAGAGTTGTCAAAACAGGCCGGCCTACGGGTAGCAGGCTCAAACGGGTCGAGTTTATTTAACTTAAGATAAAAATGGGCTTGCATTTTTACTACGCCAGCCTTACCTATGCAGGCTACGGGATTCTGTGGGCCAGCCCAACAGCCCTAATAAATTTTTTTGTTGTTCTCTTTTTCCTATTTTTGTCACAAGCCATTTTTTTTACTATTTTTATAACAACATACCATGATTTTTTTTTTGTTGCTATCAGTGTTTGTAACAGGCCATTTTAGGTTGTTTTTGTAACAGCCTAATAGGCCACTCATTTTTTTTGTCCAGATTTTGTATTAGACCATTTTATTTTATTTTTTTTAAGTTGTAACACGCTATTGATTCTTTTTTTGTTGTTTTTGTAACAGACATTTTTTTATTTCTATACACACAATAAGTCAACAAAAATATAAATAAGTTCACAATTAAGCATAGTTCCAAGTGTGCGCGGGCTGCCCAAGCCCGCATGGACCAGCCCAGTTAAAGTCCTAACGGGTACCAAGCTTATCTGGACAAGCCCAAAATGGCTCGAGATAATTTCGAGCCTTACTTTTTAGAGCCAAGCCTGCCCATTTAAAGGGTTTTTTCGGCCCAATCCATCGGGCCAGCCCATTTTGCCAACTCTAATGAATTCCATGTGTTTCAACTACACCATTGGTTGTGTATTTGTGTTAACAAAGAAAATCACAGTTGTAGCTAAATAATCAAGAACAAATATACAGTTACCTAATTACTATAATTACTAGGATACTATTTCTTCAAATAACATATTTAAATATATTTAACAATATCCAACAAACTAACAAGGATAACCTAAACACACACACTCCTTGAATACATGATTAAATTCAAACAGAAAAGAACTTAAAAGAAGTTAAAGAAAAAAAAAATCTGCATAAATCCATAGTCCTCACTAGCCACGATACATACCTGAAACCACTCTGAAGGAAGCAAATCTTCCCATGCTTTGGTAACATGCCATGGGATAATATCTGAATCTAAATAAACTGCAAGTCGATCTAGTTCAACAGACTGCAAAGCAATGACAGAAAAAGACATTAACAATGAAAGAATACTAGCAACAGTACAGACAAATGGAGTAAAAAGCAATAACCATACCAGAATATGCAGTAAGATTATTTTCATTTTGTAATTATGGACTCAACTACTGTTCCCAGTAATTATGTTTCATTGGTAAGTAAAATAATTCATTGAAAGAAAACAATAAAATAAGTGGATAGAGTCTCAGAATATGATCAACAAAATAAGCTTCATTCACTCAAGCAAATAAAACTTCAGTATAGAAAATTTAAGATAACCTTCCTTTGTTACAAATTTACAATACAAGATATACTTTAGAACTTTATTAAATTAAACAAGCATCTGAGTCAGTACGAAAGGATTTCATTGTCACAGCCAATAACATTTCCCAATAAGACATCAGAACCTTTTGAATGCGATCTAGTGCACCTCCAGTAATAAAAGTTTCTTTCCCAGTATCATCAACTGTCACAGCTGAGAGTTTGTCCAACATAACTCCAGCTGCAAATGGGTGCCCTGGATTGCTACACGACAGAATATATCAGGCGGTAGAAAGATATAAAACTATGTGAGATTTAATTTACTTTGACAAAAAAATTTGAATTTCTCCTTTACCTCTCACCATCTTCATATCTGATGTGAATGTTGGAAATTGAAAGCTTCAAATTTCCAATTATGGTGCTGATGAGAGATCCCAACCATGATTTATTCTTAAGATTAGAAAAATAAAGATACCAGAGTCAATACAAGGTATTCTTAATCATACAGAAACATGCATGCACATGTTTACCTTTGGATCCAAAGAGAATTTTGCAGTACATCATGCTAAACTTATGTATTGGATGCATAGGTATAACAAAACTATATATGCAATGGTTTTATTCTAAAATCCCTGAATAAACTTTACACATATTACCTAATTCACTGATAAGAAATGAAACATAATTTTGAAAAGAAATTTCAAAATATCATCGGCATTTAGTTATAAGGCAAATTTGTTGGCAACTTCCATGTGGAATATCTTGTTTGGAGTTTAGGGTGAAGCTGAAATTCGTCCCTCAACTTTGGAACTGTTTCTGACTACTATGCTTTAAAGGCTTTGAGAAGAAGGAAGCGAAATTTTTGTGCAATGATGCAGTTTTGGAAGTCCTTTGACACAACTTAATGGAAATGCATTGTATTCACAGTGTGTGCACAGTGTACTGTACAAGTGTTTGTGATATGTGAACTCAACTGCAGTCTTATCAGCTGCTGACCTGTCTTCATGGCAATTATGCCGAGTCATCTAGGTAATTAGGACAGCTTTACCTTCTATTAGATTGATAGAAAGTTACCAAACTGACTGAGAATAAATATATTGATCAAGTGTACAGTGTAAGCTTTTCAAATTTTCACAATAACATATTCAGTTTTCTGATAATTCTCTCCTACTTTCTCTTCAACTTTTGCTCACCCTTTCTCACTCATTGTCTATCTAGCACAACTGGAGAGGGAAAAATGCTCCCTCTTCATGGGTTGCGCTTTCTGCTACACTGGCATTAAATATTAAGAATTAGTAGTTACCATTTCAGATGTACAGAAACTGAGCCATTTTGCAGAACCTTGGGTGGATAGATGAAAATATGCTTGGCAGGACACAACCTAAAGTGAATAACTTAACAAAATTTCATAAAGGTAAAGCTCATACCATTTCTGACTTTAACTGTTGTGACTTCTCCCATAGTTTCAGTTCCATCTCCTGTTGCCAAAAGGGAGAAAAAGGATTCTTCATCAAATAAATTGTCTTCAAACAACATCAAATTACACTTGTTTATCTAATTCTTAGTTCCTACCTGTATTCTGCTCTTTTTAGCTTCTTGAACAGCATCCTCACTACATCCCTCAACTTGAGTTGCAGGTTCAGCTAGTAAGAAAATGCGATCCAAATATACTAAGACTGGATCTTGGCCAAGCCTACTCCATGGAACCTTAAAAGAAATACAAACATCAATATGACCATCACTCATGCAGAAAAGAATATCCAACTTAAAAGTCTGCCTAATGAGTGAATGCATGATACTTCAAACACAGAAAAACATGCTTTACATGTAAAAAGATATTTTATTAAAAAGGAAGGTACAAGGGAATGATAAGTTATTCTCCAAAAAAAGAAAATGAAAAAGTCAAAATCCAGCAAGGCATCCCAGTCTATCTACATTTCAGAAATGGATACTCTCTTGAAGCACTCAAGCACAGAGCACCAGAAACAAGCCAAAACAGAAACCCACCAAAAAGCCAATATTTGAGTAAAGAACCCCTTTTGATGGGGGCAATCCACTTCAGTCAAACAAACCAAAGAACGAAAAGAACAATCCCATAAAAAATGGCCTCGTTCTTCCAAAACCATTGTAAGGAAGCAAGAGAAATTGCCCCAAGTCAAGGGGAATGCCCAAGTGAAGATTCATCCAGCATACAGAGTAACTTATTCCAAAGGAAGGTACTGACCCTACAGTGTACAGATGGGAAACCAACAATAAACTAGATATCTCATCCTGAATTATAAAAATATCATTATCATTACACATTAAGAAAAAGGAGCTATTTTAATAATGAACTTCTATCACAATCCCTAACAACCCGACAGGTCTGTAATCTGTGTCTTCTACCAATAGTTAATCGAAGATGCACAGATGATAGAAATTAGCTCTTACAGCATTGGCAATTACAATATCCCCCATTTAACAATAAGACAGACGATAAATAGAAAAAAAACACTCCAAATTATACCATGGCCATGGTGCTGAGATAACCCTCACAGTGCCTCATCTTTTAAGTAACATGACATTGTCCTCAATATGAAAAATAAATTACGAAACCAAAAACCAGAAAATATAGCTAATAAAAGTTAGAAAAATAAGAAAATAAATTAGTTCGTTTAACCACAATTTAATCACATGAATTTGAACAACGAAGTTGGCAAAAGATAAATTACACAGAAAAATAATCGTAATAGATTACTTTTAAAGGGATACTAAATCTTGTAAATTAAAGCAATCTCAACTTTTCATTTCTTCACGAAAGATGATGAGCAAAGCTCAAACTTGAAACTAGATTGAAGGCCATCTCCCACCCCCACAGTTTCCAACTACTTCATCTAAGCTCTTGCTCTTTTACAGCTATCTCTTTCCACCCCATTTCCATGTTTCCCTTCATGTCTATCCAATCTTGACAATTCAATCTTACATGAATGGTCAAGATTAGATTAAAGTAATATCAATCTTGACTATCCATGCAAAGATTAAATAATCAAAGATCATTTCCTTTCACGCAATACATACAGGCCTACATATATACTTAGAAGAAGAAACAAAAGAACCTTCACCATCCAAGCAGCAATATCAAAACATATATAACCAGAGCCAACATATTATACTTCTAAATTTGTGAGAAAAAGCAGTTAATCCCCCACCAACCTTAAGTTTCACTGATCCAAGAAAACCTGCTTTAACCTTCACGGGTAGCTTTAAAGCATTTAAAGCCTCAGGCTTTAGCTGCATATTCTTCAGCTCTACATCACCTGTTTCATATTTTAGTTTTAGGGAAGAAAAATATCAGACATACGATAAGAAAAATTAATGCCAGGAAGATAAAAAGCAAAGGCGCACAAATATACATCCATAAACCCATTAAATCTTTCAAGAATGAGTGAATGAGTGACCAAGAGACATATATGTATGCACAAATTGACCTCGTCCACAATGCACATTGACCTTGGAATAAAACAATAAATCAGGACAGCTGAAACAAATTAAGCATTGAATTCTCCAACACATTTCAAGGAAGATGCAATAAAGGATTAAACATCCAATGTAGCCAAATGCCATTTGCTGATTGCACAATCACTTATCTAATATCATTTCCCCTCTCCCCTAAAACTACATAGCCTGGAACAACGAAGAAACTTCTCAGCCACCAAAAGCAACAGTGTTCAGACACAATTCGCTAATAAACTCACTCGCGCACAATCGCTAAGATTGCTCTAGCACAATCAACAGATTGAACTGTTGATATTCAATTCAACAGTAATACTTAAATTCAACAACTACAGTTGAGACACAAACGTGAAGCCTCGCTCTAATTTCAACTCAGCAGTCAAGTGAAAAATAAAAATCGCTAAACCTTTCGGAAGGTAATAGAAAGTGATTGAGAAGACAATGAATAAATAAGAAGAGATGTTAGGATTTTCTGAACCTTTCCAGACACTGATTTTGAGAGCTTCTTTGCTGAGACCCCTCACATAATTGCCAAGGTACCTCTGCAAAAGGTACGCTACCTGATCCTCCAGCATCTTGTGGCCGAGTGATCATATACTCAGCACAACGCTGATCGCAACGGTTACAGAGACGAAGACGAAATATAACGATGGTGATAAGAAGATGTGAAGGATGGAAAAACTGCGCACGGAATGAGTGATTCGGAACTTGAAGGCCACGTTGTCACTTGCGCCCCAAAAAAAATAATAAATAAATGAAATGAAAACGTTACTACTCTTGCTCTCGAAGGTACTGTGACAAGTGCAGGTGGCATAAATGAGCTTTGTTATAATTCCTGTTAAACGTTAATTAGTGTCCTGACGAATATTTATTAATTAAAGATTATTTAATAAGTATATTATATTACATATGTTTTAATAAAAATAATTTTGAGCCTTTGATTAACACTGTATAAACATTAGTTAATATCTGAAAATAATTATCAGTTTATAAATAAATATTAAAAAGATTAATTAATAATTAAAAATATAAACAAAAGTAGCGACATTTAGAATTATTCTGCAAAATGATTCGAGCGATGTTGACCAAAAAAGTTGACCACCTAGGCAAACTGATCACGTGAGGTCACGTGTGCACATACGTGGAAGCGTAATGTTGTAGAGAGACTGCAGCGGAAATGGTGATACCTCATCAATTTTAATAATCTGCACATTTGTCAATATGGGAATGTGGTTGCCGTTTGGGGTGACACACTTGCCCTTCAAGAATGCAGTTAAACGACATCGTGGCCTGATCTGCAGTGCCGGCAGAGCAAAGAGCGTAAGAGTCTAAGAGTCTCGTGTGAACAATGAATGAAATTTTATCATACTTCTGACATTCATCGTTTATTTTCTCTTCTTGATATGCATTCGTAGCATATTTTATGCAAGTACTGCCTCTTATCTAGTGATATTAAAATTGTTGATATGGTTTATATAATTACTTTTAAATTAATTAATGTAAATAAAACTCAGTTCCAATTACTTATCTTTCGTTGTTCTCGTAAGTAAGAGAAAATTTAAGAAGTTTATTATATTTAATTAAATGCTTTTTATTAAAAAAATGATATATGATAATATTTTAGAGTGTTTAAATAAAAGTATTTAAAAAATTACTCAAAAAATCTTACAAAAATATTAGAGATGATATTAATTAAAGATGTCAATGAATATTCTTGGAATATCACCGAAGAATTAAAATATAGAAAATACTATCAATATACTTCTGCACAATAATCAATATAATTCCATTTTCTTTTTAATAAAAATATATTTATCAATTTCTTAATTAATATTTTTAGAATATTTATTTACATGGTCTGGTAAATAATTATAACATTTAACGTATTATATCACTTTAACACAACTATAATTTAAAAAATAATAATTTGGATTTTACACATGTTATATAGTTTGAAAAAAAAAATTGTTCTCTGATAATATATTGTTTTATCAACCAACCATTTGAATTTGAAAAGTGTATTATTATAATATGAATTTTATAATAATACATTTTTCATTTTTTTTAAGTTACATTAACTTTTCATTTCAACGTCGAGGAAAAAAAACAATAAAAAAAATTTAAATAAAAATTTTAATTTTTTATTTAGCATGTATATGAAGAAAAATAAATAAATATTATTTAAAGTACTTTATCTCATAGCTACGAAATAAATTAAAAAGCAGAAAGTGTTGTAAATATAATTTAAATTTCAAATTAGGTCGATGAAAAGGATGAGTATTTTAAATTTCTTTATGACAAATACATGCTAATAAAGTATAGAAAAAAAACTTATCATTTAGTTAAAATATTGTATAAAAATTAGTATGTATCAAAATACCAATAAAAAATTATTTCAACGTAAAAAAGATAAGAATGTTGCATAGAATTAAGAAAAAAGTATTGAAATTTATGTATTTCATGATTAAAATTATACTTTAACGTTATTTGTAAGCTTTTAATCATGATCAAACTTTTAAAAGAGCAATTAAAATAATTTTTTTAATTATATGTTTTAAGTAAATTTTATAATTATAAATTACTCAAGTGTTATTTATTTCTTTTTATTATTATTATTATTGTTATTTCATAAAGATTGTTTAATAGATTAGAGAGTCTCTGAAGAGCAGTAGGTAAAATTTAATAGTATTATAAATAATTTAGTTTATGTGTTTCAAATCCAATTTCGGATCGTGACATGTTCTAACCATACTTGTAATCATATGTGATAAATTGAATATAAAAAAAAAAAAAAAAAAAACACTAAAGTCTACATGTTGTGGTAGTAATTAAGGACAAATCAAATAATCACTTACATCTACAATAATTGACCATAAATATATATAGCCCTTGAAATATAATAATACATTGCATAATGTCTCAATTTCAAATTAAAAATAGACTTCCAAAAATTAAATTTTAAAATTCTATTACGAAATTTTTTGAAAACAATTATTTGAAAGTACGTGTCATAGGCTTATGGAAGTTTATTATACATGCTTTCAAAAATTAATATGCATAACCCTATAAATATCTACTCCACCTTCTATTATTGTAGTTCCAGTAAAAAATACAATATTTTTATAATACTTTATGTTTAAATGAATACTCTCATGCTTGAACCTAAGTCACAAAAAAATGATGAAACTTATGTTCTGTACAAGTCTCACTTCCTTGTGAGACTGACTTATTCTAAGTAATAGAGATTACTTACTTTAACATAAAGAATGTTCATTCTTTAACAGAACATAAGTCACCCTAAAACTATAATTTATGTATAAAATACAAGTAATATTTTGATATTTTACGTAAAGAGGATTTTTTTTAAAGTTTCGTATTTATTTTAAATATAAAAAAAATAGATATTTCGGGTAAAAAAATAAATTGTGGTATAAATAGTATTGAAAAAAACTGAGTGCAAAAGTAATGGTCTTTGTACCCTGTGTATTGTCCTAGTCTTGGGCTGCTTTACCAGCTCTCTCTTTCGGTGTATGTAATTTGGGCTTTTCTTCTTCGGCCTTTTTGCATTGTAATTCGGTAGGCCTTTCGGCTTTTCTTCATAAACATAGGCTTTTTTTAGACATCCAATATTCGGAAATTCCAACTAATTCAATTGGATGAAATTTTTTTCGTGTTTACGTTCTCTTTTTCACCGTAAACTTTGGCAGTTTCTTGAAAAAAAAGAATGCTTAATCATATGAAGTTTTGAAATGATGGACAATTGGATCCAATTACGCAAGATTTTTGGTGTAACTTGGTGGAAAAATAGGGACCCATTTAAACTATACAAAGAGCATTTCACCGAGAAGTAAAGAAGACAGAAGAAGATAAAGAAAAGCATTCAAAAAGTTTTAGAAGAATAGGAAACAGAAATAGCTGTAGGTAAAAATATTTGTTTACGATGATATTAGAACCGATTGTATTGGAGTGATCACACGCTATGCAAATGGAAATCAAGTTCACTCGAAAAATCATAAGCTTGCTGATATTTTTTCAACTTTCTACTTCCTTTTCCCACTTCAAAAACTGAAACACGATTAAATACCTTTTATAGATTTTATTCGACTCTTTGTTTTTGCCGACATATTTAAATTAGTTTTAAAATCTACTCAAAATCTAGCAAAGTGTTTACGGTGAAAAATGATAATTCGTAAACAAATAATCCAAGAGTAATCTGGAGACTGGATTAGGTCCTCTTTAAGTTTTTTTAAGTGTGTTGTTAACGTAACAGTAAAATAGACGTTGCAAATTAAACAATTTAGTAAGAATAGTGAATATAAAAAGTCTAAACTGAAAGCAACAAATTGGAATTAAAATGCAGAAGGGTAAATGTACAGGAATGTAAATATGCTAGAATGTAAATGTGCGACTCCTCACAACGGCGAACAACGGCCACCGTGGGTCTCCTTGTAGCTGGTGTCTGGCGGTGCAGAGTTTCAGCGTTTCAGAGAAGTTAGATGCGGTGTTTGGGTGCAAAAAGTCGTCCCTTGTAAAATGGTGTTTTTAAATATTTATAGGTAGGAAGACCGTTCTCCTCCTTTTGCGGTCACTTCTTAGTAATTACCTTCAACTGTTGATGCCCATTATCCACGATTGTTTGTGATCGTGCTGTTGGTTGGGGCTTCTTTCATAACTGCTATCGCCCACGATTTTCTTTGCGTAGTGATGAATGTTGATGACTGCTGGTAGCCGCTTTTGAATTTTGCAATGACTTGACCTATCAAGACTTTTATTTTTCTATCTTTCGAGTATTTATGAGAGAATTCTAAGAGACTTATTTAGTGTTATGGCCTTAGAATAATTTCTCCTTGATTTCTCTTTTCGACTAATTCTGGAGTTTTGAGAACTTGTCATGGTCTTGTAGACTTAGAATATTTTCTTTGCTCAATTTGGTTTTTTGAGCAATTCTGGCGGAACTCTGGAGCTCAACTAGGTTTGTAGATTTAAAATATTTTTTGACCACTTCCTATTTTTCAAGCAATTCTGAAGGGAATTTGGAGCTCAACCAGGTTTGTGGACTTAGAATATTTTCTGACCACTTCCTATTTTTTGAGCAGTTTTGGATGTCAGTAGCTTGGAAATTCCTCAAAACTCTTCGAAAAAACCTTCAATTTTGTGAACTTGGAATATTTTCTTGTCTTTCAAGCAGTTTAGAGAAAAATTCACATTGTAACAAAAATCTCCTAAAATAGCTCAAAATATTTCCCTTTTAATAAAAACTAAAGGTCTTCGATAATCTTCCACTATTCTCTTATGTTCAGGCCTATTTTTTTCTCCTTTTTTACCCTCAAAATTTTATCGAAATGTAACTTCTTTTAACATGATTTTTAACTTAAAAAATTTTTCTTACCCCAAACACAAAGTTACTTAACAATATGGTAGCTGTTACCTCAAAAGAAAATAAAATGATAAACTTTAAAAAAAATAAAAATAAATAAATGAGTTGTGATGTGTTCTGAATATTTTTATTAATTTATATAATTTATGGAACAATTTTTGTCACAAACATTAATCAATATAATTTTATAGTATTAATTTTATATTTTTTATTATTCTTAATTTTATTAGTTTATTTTTTTATTAACATAATATAATATTTTTTTAATGAATATCCATGAATCTAGTTAATAAAATTATTAAAATGCTTTTTATCACATTGCTATCGAGAAGGAACCCAAGTTTTTTTTTTATTAGATTATTAGTTTTTTAATGTTTAGTATTATTTTTTAATTTATTTATTAGTTTATTTATATATTTCAATGTTAGACAAATATTAATAATACATTTTTTAACATACTTTTTTATACATCCTAATTATTAGATAAAAGTTATTAAAAAAAAAATATATATATATATATATATATATATATATATGTGTATTTCACTCTTAATTTACTAATTTTTATTTATGATTTAATAATTTTTATAATTACACTATTCTTACCGTTGAAAAGGAAATCAAGTTGCGAATGTTATTATTAAATTATCTTACTTTTATCTAGTAGACCTTTCATATATTACATAATTTTTCTGAAAAATATTTTTTTCTCTTGAGAGGTATATATAGTGTTTCATTTTTCATATTCTATTCTTTTGTAGACTATGGGATTATCTCCTATATAAACAAGGGAATCAAACTTGGTGAGATTTGTTCAACTCTATTTTCTCTCCCTTCAAAATCATTTGCAAACCATTTCAATATGAAAAGATTATTGGATGTAGAATTTTGTTGATCTTTGTATCTGCGAACCGAAATAAGATCAAATACCTATTTATAGATTTTACTCGAGTCTCTTTTTTGCCCACGTATTAAAATTAATTTTAAAATTTACCGAAAAAATTTTTCTAGACGCAAATTTATTTAACAACATGGTAACCGTTACCCAAAAAAAAAGAGGGAAAATCAATCTAGTAACCGTTAAAAACAAAACAAATAAATGAATTTTGGCGCATTTGTGATATTTTTATTAATTTTCTCGTAATTTTAATCATGAAAAAATTTGTTGTTGCAAATATTAATCAATATTATTAAATTTGTATATTTATTATTCTTAATTTTCATAGTTTATTATTATTTATTACTAGTATTTACATACTATAACAAAATGTTATGCGCTTCTCTAGTTAGTAAAACAAAATTAATAAATGTCTATTAAAAAATAATCAGGAACAAAATCAATATTTTGATCCTTTAATAATTAAATTTATAACAAATGCTAACAACAGTAGTTAAAAAATAAAAAAGAATTTTTTATTAAAAATATTATTGCTAAACTTCCATCACAAATTTTAGTGAATTTTAACGTAATTTTTAATGAAATTATTCATTCTACTAGACATTCTAACTTAATTTTACATTTAGGGTTAGTTTTTAAAAAAATTACATTGTGCAACAAATTAATCTTTTTCACTAACTTTATTTAAGTCCACAATTAACGTCTCTCATCAATCTTCTTACATGGCTTAGACGTTATTTACAATATAAGAAAAATGATGGATGGAACGTATTTGTTTTCGATGAACGTGTACGAAATAACATAACTGTATTCTGCTTAATTCCTAATTCTTGATTTATTTTTAATTTCGTTTACTAATCATAAGTTTTTCCTTTCCTTGCCATTTAATCACCACGTGCCCACTGATTCCTTAATCAGATCCCACTATCTTTCATCACATTTTTTGTTGTACGTCAGTGTCATAATCTCATTTAAGCAAATGATCCTGTCCCTCCTAATCAAATGGTGCAAGTGTCTGAATTTAGTGTTTATTTGGATGCGTGTTAATAATTTTTAAATTTTAATTTCATGTAAATATAGTTTAAAATCTATGTCAACGTATTTAGTAGTTTTATAATATAATTGATTTTATTTTAAATTTGTGTTTGAGTTAATATAATAAAATATAATTTTTTTAAACCAAGTTTTTTAAACATAAATCATATTATTTTAAACTTAATTTTAAGTAAAAAACTTATAAACCTTCATCCAAATATACTCAAATTTTTAAAGAAGTTCACCGTGACGCTCCAAGTTGAAGGAAGAAGATTTCATAGTTATAGTGGAGAACGACAAGAGGTGGGCAAGAGTAGGAGGCTGTATTTTGGCCATGAGAAGGCGTTTGGTGTGAGATTTTTGGTTGTTGCAGACTGTTTTTATAATTGCAATAGATATTATGCTGTGGTTGCTACATGTCTTTTCCCTAATATGAATAACAACAAAATTTTGCCAATTAATCAAAGATTTAGTTTTGTGGCTGCTATAGTTTGGAAAGTTTAATTGATCTATTGTGATGAAGTGCCTTCTAAGTATATTTCAAATTAGGTTATTTGTTTTTAATACCGTTCCTCGCCAATTGAACGAACACCTTATTTTTAGAGTTAAATTTACAAATTTGAGTGAGAAAAAAAAAACAGAGGATAATAATGGGTTAAGTCATGTTAGAGGACAAGTTAGTATTGTTTATGATTGAATTAACGAGGTTAGCAAAACAGGTATTCGAATAATTGAAAAACGAGACTAAATTAAAAAACTAAATAAAAAAATAAAATAAATTTAATTGATTAAAATACTAATTCTATGTATTTATTTATATTGTGAGAAACACGTTTTATTTAAATATTCTTTTACAAATAAGGTCTGTCGTTAGTGTTTGTTAAAAAAATTAATAAATAATTATCTTTATCGAAAATGCATTGAAAGCCATAATAAAAACACGCTAGTAACGTTTTTGGTAGTGTTTTCGTCCTTTATGACAAATATCTTTAAGCTATTGATTAATATTCATATGAATCATATTATTATTTAATCTTTGAAATTTATAATGTTGTCATGTACTGATTTTTTACTATGTACATTTTTTAAATGTCAGATTAATGAAAGGATATATTAATAACTTAAAAAATTTTATGAACTAAAATACTTAATAATTTTATAAAAGCTAAAATCAAAATTCAGTACATTTTAAGAAATAAAAAACAAAAAATAATACATTATTTAAAAAATATATATATACCACGTCTTATATTTGGAGGGGGGGCAAAGAATAAAGTTGCTTCCATTTCAGGTGGAGCACAGAACGCAACCACCGTTAATACGGGAAAGGGATGTTGCCGGTAAGTAAGTTAGCAGGGGAAACTCCTCATGTCTTAAGAATTAAGATATTTATAAAGAATATTTCTTTATACTTAAACGAAGTTAACGAAGCTCCGCATGGCGCTTCTGAAATGTTCGCCGTCCACCCTAAACATTCCGTCTTTCTTTTCTTTTTTCCATCAAATGAGAAAGGGTAGAAACATATTATTTAATTTTTAACATATTTTTAAATATTAATTAATTTATTAAAAACTATATAAAATATAGTTTTTATGTTTAATTTAATTTTTTCTCATTTTCTTATAATTTTTAGTTAATAACTTAAAGTATGTTAAAAAGCGTTCATAGTTTTTCCTCTATCTCCTTGCAATTTATAACACGGAAATATTATCTGAAATCGAACCTGCCTCTTCGCACTTTTTTTTTTCTCATTTTTAAATCCCTCCCGAGAAACTCTAAATTCATTTTCTAACAGTATTTGTTAAATAACGATAGAGGTTTAATTCGTCTCACTCTCACCCACATGCAGCGAGGATTCAAAGGGAAAATAACATTTAACCTGCATATAAAAGTTTTTTTTCATGAATTACAAATAATAAAAATATATTACATTTTATGTTAAACTATTTTAAATTTATAAAAAAAAATATTTACTATATTTTATAATAAAACAATTCATTTTAAGTTTCTTAATGTCTTAAAAATATTAAGATTTGCATTTGGTACTTTATAATTTTCTATTCTCCTTTAATAAGGACGACATAGTTTGTTTCACACCTCAAAATTTCACATGCCTCTTCCGTTTCGTGGTGGCATAGCGTTTTTCGTGCTGCGGGCCAAACCTATGGAGCATAGAAATGCCCGTCCTTGCAACCTTTTCTTTCTTCATGGATCTTAATTTTTTTAAAATCTCAGAGAAAAGAAGAAAAATATAGCAATTGATGCTTATAAATTACAGCATAAGCTCGTATCAGTTTCTTCGTTAAAACTTTTGAAAATATAGACCCCACAACATCCACATGAAATAAAAAAGGAAAAAACCAAAACCTTGATATATATATATAATATAAAAACCCGAAAAATGAGCCATTTCGCAGAGCGGATCCCACAAGCAACGAACTTCTCTACACGTATTACCATATACAGCTTCATGAACAAAAATTTCTCTTGAGGGGGATCTCGTTTCTCTTGACCCTTCTTCGTGGAAAGAAAGTAAAAACTTCACTTCTACTTTTCTTTTTTGTTCATTCTTTTTCCCCTTTTTTCGAGAACGCTGCAGTTACACTGTTCTCTCTTATAAGCCTATTTCAATTCAAGTCTCAACTAAGCGGCAGCAACCGTCCCTGTACGAAAGGAGTAATCCTGGGCCTTGTTTGGGGAAGCAGATTTTCTTTGCTCCTTTTTTCTCAAAGCCTTCATTGAAGAAGAAAGATTCTTATTCTTCTCCTTCGCTTCGTCTATCTCTATTTGTTCTTGTCTACACTCTTCGCTACAAAAAGGCGTGTCCCCTCTGCAATAAGTTTCACAATTAACACCGCCATCAGAAAAGCAAACACACAGAGATCTAATCAAATTCACAATTAAATTACAATTCAAAACCAACCCAGTGAAGAAAATGTAAAAAAGATTGTTTTTATAGCAGATCATAAAAAAAGAAGAAAGAACGACCCTTTAATTGGCATATGAATATTGATCTAGAATTCATAATCACGATTAATTAATATTATTAATTAGAGGAAACAACGAACCTGTACATGAAGATGTCTCTATTGTCGCCAAGTGGCTTCTTGCAAAGAAAACAAGCATCAAGAAAGTGGGGTTGATGATCTTCAAATCTGGCATCATAAAATCTCCCAGATCTTGGCGAAGAAATTGAATGGCCCCTGACGCCGCGGTTGTAAAAAGTGGCGTAACCCAGAGTCCTAGAGACAAAACCATGCTGGAAATGGAAGTGACTGTGGCCAGAATGTCCAGGCTCAATGTAAGCCAAGGAAACCAAACCATCATCCTCTTCAAAGAAACAATGTCTCTTGGTGGAAGCGGCCATGACTAAAAGGGTTTGGCTTTAGAAACTGAAATGAAAGAAATGGTCGTGTCGTATGATTGTGGAGGGAATGAAGAGTGATTGGAGAAAATAAGAGAGAAGGGAAGGGGGGTCTTATAAAGTGGTAGGTGAAGGCTTTTGGTTTTGTGTTGTTGGTTGAATGAATGCGGAATTGAGAGGGGATATAAACAGCGGCAGGTTACAACTTACTAGAATCCGTCCCCGTGAATCCATTGGCTAAAAAAACCTGCATCAACCTTTTCAAAATTATTTAATTTAAGAATTGAATAATTGGAGGGGCACCCAGTTGCGAGTGAGGATGGGGGAAATTACACCAATGCCACAAGGGCGATTAAGTTGTGGCATTTTTGTGGTTTGAAGAGAATATGAGGGTCTGAAACGGAGGAGGAGGGAAAGATCTTGCAGTTCCAATCTCCGAAGTGGTGGGTCCCAGTTGCGACCAAATCGCACATGTCTCTCTCCTCCTTGTCCTCTCCACGTCAAATTGTGCTGAGGGTGTAAGGAAAGTCGTGACCCAAACTCGCGCACAGCGCGTAAGTGTAACGGTCACACCGCCCATCTCCTACTTCTACACTCTTTTACTGTGATTTTTTTCATTTTTCTGAGATCTAATTAATACCTGCCTCTCACATTCAACGCTGATTGAATTCTAAGCCCAACTAACCTCCTCTTCTCAATTACTACTTTCTATTTTATTTTAAGTAATTAATCTTCATTTTTTCTTTTCATGTTTTGATCATTTTATTTCTGATTTATATTTTATATTAATTATTAAAATCCGTGGTTAAATATTAGTAATTAATTATTAAAGATACACATGACTTCTTAATAAAAAACAAGTAAATTTTTTTTTCTACAAAAAAAGACTTCAAGTCTAATCAAACAACTAGAATTTAATACTCTAGGAGTTAGAGATATCTGGACAGAAATGACAAGAAGGGAGAAGAGGGTAATCTAGCTAAACACAAAGGCCATGTCATTTAACTTCAAATTTTGCATTGATTGTTTTTTTACGTACAAAATTAAATCTAATAAGATTAATTTGTTTTAACAGATATCTAATGTTAAAAATTAAAAAGAAAAACTTATGAATATTGAAAATAATATTTAAAATAAGTTGAAGAGCATTTTTATTCTGTCTTTAAATATAGTTTAAAATTCTTTTCTATTTGTTCTGAACACTAATAATAATATTTGCATCTTAATAAGAAATACTAAATATATTTTTCTTTTGTTTGGATACTTAACTAATTTAAACGTAGTCATATCAACAATAATAGTGTTAAACATATTAAAAATAAAAATAATGATTATAAGTAATAAAATTAATCATGCTTTTAGTTTGTTTGCGATTTTCCAAAGTAGATGAATAAAAAAAAAATAAAAAATCCCCTTACCAAATTTACATTTTTCTCTGCACACTCTATTACAGTACTCAAAAGCAATACCATTACATCACAAAAAATAGGTTAAGTTAATGAAATTAATTAAAATACATTAATAATAATTTATTATACATGAAATATATTCATTAAATTTTATAATAATTATTTTAAAATACATTTATAATTAATTAATAATATAAAAATTTAATTTTCTTGATATGTATTATGAGTACATGTTAATAATAGTTGATTAAAATAGACATTTTTACTATCTCAATTTATAAAAATATTTAATACACATTTTTATAAAAACTATATTAAAATTAAACTACATGTTAATTATCACGAGAACGATTTAAATTATTGCGCGTATAATTAACTTGCAAGTTATGCCTGGAAGTTAACTTGATTTTTTCAAACTAATCCAAACACATTCAATTTTTATATATGATTTTAAAAAAAAAAATTAAAAAAATGAAATTTTTTACAAAATTATGAAAATATGATTTTTTTTGAAAAATTGTCATTGATAATTTTTGGCCAAAAATCACCGCTGACAACTTTTTTTATATATTTTTAAATATTTAATTATTTTTTAAAAATTGTCATTGAAAACTTTTGAAACTTTATTATTTTTTTATCTATGAATATTTGTACTATACCAAAAATTAACAATTTTTAAACTTTATATTCTTGAAATTTTATAAAAAATTTCATATTTTTATATTTTAAAAAATAAAAAACATATAAAAAAATGTAATTCATCATGATTCCTTCCTACTTTTCGCTCCATTCAACGCTTGACATTAACCGGCGGGACCTTTTCTACTGAGAAAAATGATCCATCAATAATTAATTTCATATGTCAACATTAAAAAGAAGAGTTTCTTTTTTTTTTTTCTTCAAAATAATACGTTGACACCTATATATTAAGCGTTAAATGAATAAAATAAAGAAAAATATGATGAATAATATGATTAAAAAAACTAAAAAAAGGGAAAAAAGTAAAAATAGAAGTACTTTTTCTCCTTCATTTTACATTAGATCGTCATTATTAATGATGTGCTATTCAAAAACCGAGCCAACCATGTTTAAATAGCGGTACTTATCTCGGTTGACGGTGAACAAAATTTATTTGCTCTTTGGGATTTTGAATCTTTTGACTGAGAAAGAAAATAATATAGTTTTTCCCTATATTTCATAAATTTTCTTATTCTTATTTATGTTATAATTTTTGAAATTTTAAAACTAAATTATTTTTTCAAATTATACTCGTTTATAATATATAAATGGTTATTTTAACAAACTACTATAAATATATTTCTCAACAGCGTATATAAAATTATTTTGTCAAAATACCAAAATTCACTCTAACAATATTTACATTTCAAAGGAAATAGCTTAGCTCATCGATCAAGGAATGCCTTTTTATGTTTTAAAACTCTATTTCATTAGAAAAAAATAAATTTTTCATGCGAATCATATTTTATTGCTCAATGCATTTTTAATAATCATTTGTTTCAACTCTACAAGAAAAACAAAGAAAGAGAAGAATAAAAAATAAAAGTCCAAAATAAAGAAAAGCCTATGGAGAAAAATGTTCTCTTCTTTTCAATGAAAAACCTACCAACTGCCAAAACAATATTTCAATTAAATTATTTATTATTCAATGTACATATAATTATACGCGTTTAATATAAATGATCTCATGCGATAAAATTTTAAAAATATATTAAAAAACCATTATTTATGGTTATTTTCTTTTCTTTCGTCATAATAGATTCCCATAAAATATATGTTTACTTTGAATATAACTAGGATTCATTAAAACATGAACACAAGTCACGTCTAACAACTGTTCAGGTAACTGAGCAATAATAACGTGAATACTAGACTTGCATCTCTTTTTTATTGGGTCCATATAGACTTTTATGTCTGAATCTGAAATTACAAATTTATTGGAAGCAGGGCAAAGAGGTAGGGAGGACGCGCCAGAAGTGCGAGTAGGAAATGTAAAACCACCTAAGTGCCCAATTGTACGTGTACTACTACTTTCCTGCTCCAAAACCAAAACCCACGGTTCCGCTTTTTCCCTGAACCTTGCTTCTCACTCCAGTTCCCTTACGTCACCAATTCCCTTACCTTTTTCCCAGATTCTTTCGTCGTTTTCTTTCACAAACATAATGGGCCCCATTTTGCTAAACTCGAGGCTTGGGGCCCACCAAACTGACAGCATAATCATGATGATGGCGTGGCCTCTGTTAAAATAATTTTAATGCTGTTTTCGGGATTTGTTTACTATTATTATATGCTCAATGCAAGTGATGAATTGAACAGAACTACGACCACTGTTCAGTGTTCCCCTCTCAGCCTTCGACACGGCCCATTCTGCTCAGCCACACACTTCTACCTTTCAACACGTGTTACGCTACGTGGCTTCATCTGACACACATCGCTTTCTTATGCTGCCACGTGCCTGTAACGGACAGATTCATTTTTTTCCTGCTCCCTCATTCACGCTCCTCTGATTCCTTTATTGGCAAATCAGAAACAGAAACGCCGATCATCATCCTCTACTACGTGAAAGTTTTTGCACACCCATTCACTTGTTGACCCACCGTCCGATCTTCCCTATTAATTCTGATCATCTTTAAGTATTTAGCTGCGTTTAAATAAAGCGCGTTGATTAAATGTTTTTTTTTAAAAAAACATTAAAGTTTACTTTATGAATTTTGTTGTCAAATTTATTAAAAATTGTAATAAATTTTATTTATTAAAGAGTTTATACTTTTATAAATAAATTAATAGAATTACGTTATGTACAAAACTATCTATTCTTTTACTTTTTTTATCTTCACATTTTTTTAATGATATTTTTAAGAAAATTTTAAGCTCTTCTTTATCTATAATGAAAATACCTATAATAACACTCACAATTAAGTAAGTATTTAGTATAGAATAATAAATATTATTTAATATTTTATAATTAATTTTTTTATTTGTTTTTTTTATTTTTTTATAGGTAAATATTAAACTTTATAGACTTATCAAGTCAATCTTAAATTAATTATATAGTAATTTAAATAATTAATTTTTTTTATAGGTTCTTTAATCTTAATTATGATATTAATTTGACTGAATAAATAGTTAATATCTTTCGTTCTAAGATAAAGTCAATAGGTTATTTGGTATTTTTTTTTCTTAAATAAAGTTAAAATAATACTCAGTTCCTTTTAATTTTAGAAATAATCGAATAAAACTTTATTTGATATAGTATTATTTGTTTTTGGATAAAGTTGAATAGGCAGTTGACATTTTTTATTTTTAAATAAGATAAAAAAATATTTAATTCCTTTTAATTTTGAAAGTAACCGAATAGGATACATTATTTTAATTATTTAACAATTTATATAATTAATTTTACTAAATATATTAATTCAATAAAAATTATAAAATTCAAATTTTAACTATTTATAAAGCCTTAAAAACTTTTGCAAGTAAATTTTTTTAATATTATTTCTTTGGTCGCTTTCAATTTAAAACATTTTTCTTTCTCTATTTTTATTGTTGAATCAAAAGAAAAAAACTCTGAAAAGTGAATATTAAACTTTTAAATTTATTTTAAGTTATTAAAAAGATATAAAAATTTAACATGAAAAGTATTTTATTAGTTTATCTTTAGTTTTTTTTATTTTCTCTTTTATTGTGCTTAAAGAATTATTATTTAGTAAAAGAAAAAATGATTTTAAAGGTCAAGCCATATTTTGATT